TATATAATCGTTACATTCTATAGTCTTTCAAACTTTGCATTAGACAACGAGCATATTGCATCAGTCAAATAATAAAAAAGTGAACAGGTTTATCTGGCAACATGCCATTTAAATGTTCTTTGATATTAATCAAACCATCTTTCAGTCAAATGAAATTTCAATTATCAGATTAAAGTTTTAATTGTTAATATTTTTGTTATAATTTTGTTGGAGCTATTTTGATGTATACTTTTTGATTTGTGATATAAACATAAAGATATCATCAAACTTTGTGTACTCAATTACCTACATTGACTGATTGTTTGCGAGCTAAAAAAGGGGGTGGGGGGGGGGGCATATGCTTTTAGCATATTTTTTATAGTGAAGTGAACCCACCCACCCGGATAGTGTTAACGCGGATTCAGATTAATTTCGCTGTCATGGTTCCGTAACACTCAAAAGCCCGGATGCTTCGTTTTTAAACAACATAAGTTCTGAATCAGAATACGTTTTATACAAAACGATGTAGGCCTACTATTGATTAACTAACCTCGCACGTAGACATTGAAATATCAATGCAGCGCAGATTAGCGGTTGCAAACACTGACAGTAATTTAAGTAACTGCTCACTAAGCAAGATCATGTCGCAATTAAGAAATTAAAAATGTGATGGTTGCAAATCTCCACCCACTTTTTTAGCGTTATAGTCATAGTGGCCTTGACAAAAATCTGTAAACAATAGCAATAGGCCTAATGTTAACAACACCATCAAATCGCTGCGTTCCGCGATACGAAAAAGGTGGTGACAGTGATAAAAAAAATTTAAAAATTTTAAAGGCTAGAAGGTATGAGTGTCCCTTTCACACACTCAATAACGTCAAAACCATATGTTTAGATATATGCATGTAATATTTGTAATCCTTGAATAAATATCGTTTAAAAAAAAATAATAACTATAAGCCCAAAACTAAGCGATAGCTAAGAGAGGTTTTGGATGATTAATTACAACCAGTTGCTCCGTACAATATACATTATGACAATCAAATTGGCCTATATCATTTGCTGCTTCCAATAATGCAATTGATTACCCTTGATTATCAATTGTAGCCTGTCTTATGGAGAATTCCGTGATCAACTTACGAATATTTATACTAAGCTTTTGGTAACTGCTACGATTCTACATGTTTAAAATATGATTATAAAGTACACGTTCAATTTGTGACCTTGCCCAGTGCTCAGAGAAATGTGTGTCAGCTTTAAAATCAAGTTTGTGGTTTGTATTCTAAACCCACCTTATTTAGGAAGGGAGATAAGTCACAGTAGCAAGATGGCTACTTTTTGGAAAGGATTTTCTGTTATGAAAATAGTTTCTAATAATAATTTTCTTATCAGACACAATTTAGCTGGTAATATTGTTTGTTAGGCTATTATGTTATGCTTCAGTGAAAATTAAATTGGCGAAGAGAATGAAAGAATTTCAAAGAGCTGAATAATATATGATATTCACGCACATGTGTGGCGGAGACGTAATCCGAAAGACGAAACTTATTCACTGACTTTTTTATTCTTACTGATCTTCGATCTGTATTGAGCTCGCAAGCTTATTGTATGGAAATCTAATATTTCTAAGCGGGAGTATGCGCCTGCTTCATCAAAACTTGTTATACAATCCTGTTTCAGATTTATTAATGTTTGTTATGGTTACTTTTTAAACCATATATTACAGTGGTGTAACCTATATTCGTGCATATAAGGATTCAACATTGAATTTTGTCAAATTAAAAAAAAATTTCTTTATGTATTAGACGTTTTTTAAATAATTAAAATTGGTTTGTTTTGATTTTCTTTATGAATCCCTCACCTAGCCAATATTTCATGAGCAACCAACTGAACAATGGCTTCATTTCCTCAGCCTTGCTTGAAAAATCCAATTAATGATATAAAACTTATGGTTTACAATGGAGGTCTTCTAAGGTTTATTATAAGATCTACTTTTCCTGCAGTTCATATGCAGGGCTCTTCCATGAAAATAGATCCTGATGGATGAAAAATTTGTCAGCTAAGTACATGCTATTATTTTTGTCATATTTATTAAAGTGTATTTACCAGTATAATATATATATTATAATCCTTTTTTTTTTGCAGTGTTGAATAAACAATTTGGTACAAACTCTGTACAGGGACTTTCAAGGTCATACAGTGTTAGATGCACTCTTCTAAATAACTTGAGAATATGTCAATCTGAGTTTTTACATAAATACAGTATTTCCTCATCTAATAAAAGTCTTCAAAATGAAAGTGTTGCTGACAGGTTAGATTTAGCTTACTTTTATATGAATATTTATACTTTTCACCAAGATTGATATGGCCTTGACAACATTCTCTCCTGTTCTAATTACACATATTGATCAGGCCACTGTTTCATTAAACTTCTAAAGTCCAGAATTTTCATAATTCTGCCTTAGAAAAAATCGAAAATTTCACTAAAATTCTTATGCTAAGAATTTTTGGCATATCCTCAACAGCTATAATCTATTCTAGCTTTTTTCTTAACTCAAGAAATGCTTCAGGATAGATGAATCTTGCAAATTTCTTTTTCGATAACTTATTGATATCAAAGCATTTGATGTTTTTCGCAGTTTCCCTGCATAATGTGGCTTATTTTTGTTATTTTGACCGAAGTTAAGATGATGTCGTAAATGTCATTTCACGCTTCAAAATCTTATTAAAGCATTAATGGGACTTAAAGTCTCATGAATGATATTTCTTTATTGTTTATTGGATGAAATAAAGATGTAAATTCAACAAAACAATGTTGTGGATGACGTGCATGAAACATTCCTAGATAAGATCTTCGTAAATTTGTAAGTGAAGTATGTGTAACAATTTGCGTAAGATGATCGTAAGTCTAATATTTTGATGTCCTGGTGCTTTTAATGCCAGAAAAGCCTCTTGAAATCATTCAGAGGTAGATTTTTCCTTTCACAAGAGCACAGTCACAGCTATCTAAGATAAATTGATTTGATTAAGTTTTTCAGTTATTATTTTTTTTTTACAGATCAGTTCAAGAAGTTGAAGGAAATGAAGCTGAACTAGAGAAATTAGATGATGGTTTGTCAATTCACAATATATTTCCATCTCTTAATATAGGGCTGGGCGATATCGGTTCAAATGTATATCACGATATCAAGCATTAATATATGGCGATATGGGTATATATCACGATATTTATCTAATATGTTTTTACTGGTTTTACGGAGCCCCTAAGATGCAGTTTTCCATACTTTTATGAAATATTTCATTAAACAAAATGAAAAGTGTTTTCGTTTAAACGAAATGAAAAATGTATTCATTCAAACGAAATAAAAAATGTATTCGTTTAAACGAAATAATTATTCGTTTAAACGAAATAATTAATTCGTTTAAACGAATACGATATTGGTTTAAAATGTATATCACGATATCAAGCATTAATATATGGCGATATGGGTATATATCACGATATTTATCTAATATGTTTTTACTGGTTTTACGGAGCCCCTAAGATGCAATTTTCCATACTTTTATGGAATATTTTGTTTAAACGAAATAAAAAGTGTATTCGTTTAAACGAAATAAAAAATGTATTCGTTCAAACGAAATAAAAAATGTATAAGTTTAAACGAAATAATTAATAGATATACCTGGTGTCATAAATAACATAACAGGATCCTTATATAATCCGATAAATCCAATAAACTTAGTAATTATCCATGAATATGCAATTAACTATTGAAAAACACTTAATATCAAGATTAAGCGTTTTCAATAATTATTTAGTTTTATGAATTTTCCAATTTTCCAGACTTTATGACACCAGGTAAGCTAATTGATGAAGGTATACTCATATTGACCATTTCGAGAACTTAAATTTTATGTTCATTCTAAGACGTAGTATCACTTTTAGTTACTAGTTAAAATTGTGTAGATGATCTTATCTGGACAAAAATTTATAGATATATCGTAATTTCCTATACTGGTATAGGACACAACATCGGGTGAAAACAGTACATCCCGTAAATTAAACCGAATACTAGTGGATCTCCTAAGGGGAGTAGTATCATGTGTTCTAGAAAGAGTGAAAATACTCTGCCAATGACAATAGCATTTCTCTCGAAGAGTTTGCAAAACTCTCATAACTAAGTTAAAAATTCGGGCAACCTCAGAAATCTCGCCCCCCCCTGGGACATAAACCTGGCTCTGCCACTGCTTCTCCACAGTCCGGGAGCCGCGGTGGCTCAGTGAGTTAGACGCTTGCTCTCTAACCTGAAGGTCCAGGGTTCAATCCCGGCATAGGTTGAGATAATACCTTCGGATTTTTCAACCCAGTTTCCCCCTGTCAGTGATGCAGGTACGAGGGGCTGACATGGAAAAGCGTCTAGTCGTTCGGATGGGACAATAAACCGAGGCCCCGTGTGCTACAGGCTGTGCACGTTAAAGATCCCTTGACAGTTGGAAATCGAAAAAGAGCTGGCTAATGCCGCTGTCCTGGCAAAATTTCCCTCATTGCACCCTGCATGGCGTCGCCCGTCTTCATTAGCCCACATGGTGCAGAAAAGTAGGACGTAAAACTCCATTCTTTTCATTTCATTTCTCCACAGTCCAAAATTTTGTGTTGGTAGATTCACTGTACATCGCCATTTTGAGTGTCATGTGGTCTGGCTTCGATCCCTGATTGGTCTTTCGTCGATAAATGTTCGGCGCTAATGTTCGTCTTTAACGCAGACGGCGAACAAAGAATTGTTCGGGAGGAGAAAAATTTTAAAAAATCAAACATGTTTGATTTCACAAACAATTCTCACGAACATCTTTGTTCGTGTTTCTGTAATCCGCAGACGGTGAAAAAAATGATCGAAACAAAATTTTAACGATTGTTCGCTTAAAATGTTCCTTGTCTGCGTTGGGCTTTAATGGTGTATGTTATTTTACTTGTAGTATCTATTATAAAGAATATCAGTAAGGCAATATACAACAATGATAGTAGACTATTTGCTGTTGTTCAGATAAATGGCCGTCAATTCAAGATAACATCAGAAGACATCATTAATGTTCCTTTACATTTTCATCCTACAAGTGGTGATAGGATTCGATTAGAAAAGGTTAGATTTATTTGATTTCTCTTTAAATAATGTACCTCACGCATTTCAAATCCCAAATTGTGTTGTTCACAATGCTCTTACAATAAGATATTTTTAGACAAGACTCTTGCTGCAAGAGTAATTTCATTTGTGATAATCATATATTGATGTTACATTCTACCTATGAATGTAACATGGTTTTGGAAAACATACCTAAGTATACATCGTCTCTCTAGTAGACAGACACATTCTATAATGTAAAATTGGTTAATTCCAGGTTTTAATGGTTGGGGGAAAAGATTTTACTATGGTTGGCAGACCCTTACTGAGGTATTTGAATTTATTTCATATTTATACTTAATGATTGAACTTTTTTCACTAAAGCTTGTTTTAAAGGGACAAGTTCGCAATTTGTTCGACCAATTGTACCTTATTCTCAGAAACAGGAATTTGTTGGCTACGCTAATCAGTAAAAATGTTCACAGCTAACCTTTGTTGTTTCAAGCTTCAAATCCATGTGTCCAGAATTATCTGTGTTTGAAAGTTATGTAGACTAGAAAAGGAAGTTTAAATTCCTAATTTGAGGTATTTTTGAAGGAATTATGCGAGTCTACTAATTTAAACACCTAATTTCTGAATAAGTGTTGCTCAACTGCATTTGTGGATATATATTTTTTTATACGCCCACATGGAAATGTGGACGTATATTGCCGTCGCCCCTGTCCATTGGTCTGTTTGTCCGTCAACATTTTTTGTGAACACAATAGAGACTAGAGTTTTTATCTGATTTTAATGAAACTTAGTGTGATAATGTATATTGATGAGATCTTGGTCAACTTCAAAATTGACGATTTTTTGATGAACGTTTTTTTAGTTATTGCCCTCGACTTAAGAAAAATGCGTCAAAATTTGTTTGTGAACACAATAGAGACTACATTTTTCAATAGAAATTTCTTTAATATGAGAAAATTCGTACTTTAATCACTAAAGACTGTTTTATCATTTCTGACAGCTGCCAGTAGGCGTATGTTACCTTGCCTGGCAATCTATCTTTTTTTCAGTCGTGGTCAAGTTAAAATAGAGGCTACAGTTGTTGAAAAGACTTTATCACATCATAAAGTACATTATTGGTATAAGAAAAGGCACCGTATTAGAAAATTCTCTCGTAAGTATGGCTTACATACAGATACAATATATTTCCTTGTATGCAAAATCAAAGCTGATATTAAACCTAGATGATATGTTTCTTATCAATTTTTGAGATGAATATGTCGAAAGAGTATAAAGTGGACACAGGGTCCTTTCTTGACTGACCATGGGATTAGAAAATCAGAATTTTTCTTACCTTAAAGTTGTAAAGAACTAAAACTTGCTGATTGTTTTGGCGGAACAGACATAGATAGTCAAACCTCTAAAAACTGCTTCATGGATTGAAAAAATGTGTTGGTATACATTTTATCAACAACACTCATTATTAGCCAATTACTTTAGTTATCTAAGGGAAAGGGAAAGGGGAGAGAAGAATTTGAAAACAATAGACTGATATATATGTTGTATTTATCATTGAAGATGTTATATTTATCCACTATTGCTCTATGTTGTTTAATATAATGAATTATATTTATTTACAGTAAAACGACAGTTACAGACAATGGTAGTTATAAATAGTATACAAGTCAATGCTATAACAACATGAACAAGTGATTTTATCAAGACAATTTGACAATCAGTATATGTTATATAGAATATGGATAAATTTATGTGTGTGATAGGAACATAGTGTCATTAGGTATAGTCTTAATATTAAAATAAGACTAATGTTATATTGAAATGTATGCCAATATGAAGAAGAAAGGCAAAATTTTATGCGGGCAAATTGATAGTGTACCATTTAACACAGACTTCTTTCTTATACAATGATTTGAATACTTCTTATGCGTAGAATTGTTGTGGATAAAAACAAATATTAAATGTAATCAATGTGTAATTATATCAGGTTTCATTATCACAGTGACCAGTAGAATTTTTTTTCTCAAGTATTAGATGCAGTTCAATACTGCCTAAATATCATTAACACCTGTGTTGTCTAAATATTTTACTACAGAATTACAGTGATATTCATTGTTTCCAGGTGTAACTGTGAACTTCTACTGAATAAAATCTGTTCTGTATCTGTTCTTAGTTTCAGTTTAACAACCAGTCAAAAGCTTACAGTACAAGTCATATACAAAATGAATATATGCTTACAAGCAGTAGACACAGGTTAAATTATCTGGGCATTTGATTGGTTGATTTCATTTATAGATCTGTGAGTTCTGTACATTAGAATGTCTTAAGATCTGGGATATTTACAATTTTGAAAATTGTTAGGAAATTTACAATTTGAACTGAATTTATTTCCTCTTTTCAACTTCCTGTGCAATGCAAAGTAAGGATTTTCAAGTCTGACAAACTGCAGTGATAACTGCAGAATATAATGTAGCTGAACACTTAATGGATAATGGTACAACAATTTCATTATTATTTACATTATATTCAATCAAAAACACACCCTGAAACAAGACTCAATGAAAACTTGTGGAATGTGAAGATTTTCATCAAAAGAACACTTAAATTTGTCTAACACAGAACAAAGTAAAATATTTTCTTACATGTGTTCATGTCATTTCTGCATTTGTCATGTCATGACTATGTTTAGTCCTACCTAGATGCAAATAAATCCACAGACAACATACAAAGACATATATAGAAATAGTGAGTAAAATTCCTAGTTAGAAGTATTTTTAAAGGAATTATGTGATTTTCAAACATTTCTAGTACTTCAGTCTGAGGACTATTTACATATATTCAAGACTAAAATCAACCCCCAAAATGGCACAACTGTCCCTTTAAATGTAAATCAGTAAACATGAAATAATAAGGGAAAATGATTATATTATAGCATCTTATGTGTAAGAAATATATATTCCGGACTTTGCTAGCCAAGTAGAGGAATAAAGAAGTTAGCTGTGGTCTGAATGTGAAGAGTAAGATAGTTATTCAATTGATGGGCAATAGGTGGCACCAGGGAACTACAAGGTACGGGTTAAATGAGGTCGAGTTGATGAAATGGTGTTATGATCGTGGAAGATGAACCTATCAATTAAGTATTAAAGGTGAATAAACTATACAATGGTATCATTATCATGATGACATGCTTGAATACCTCTCATCTAAAGGTTTAGTTCACACTGACCGAGAAAACATAACACTACTGTCACTAGTGCATTAATCGTGCCTTATTTAAGGGCTTATTTATAGTATGATAATATTGATATAGTATACTTATTCAGGAGTCAATAGCCTAATAGGATAGGCTTACTATCTATTACAATTGAATTGGTCTATTAATAACTTGCTCTGTTATGTAAAGAAGGAGGCATTTGGAAAATGATAAAAAAAAAGAAATTTCTAAAAGGGAATTGCTAAAGTAAAGCCATCTTGTCTTGGAATAATTTAAGACACAGTATTTATGTAGCCTAGGCTAAGTCTAATTATAAGTATAAGTTATGGCATTTCCAGTAGTAGATCCTACCTTGGTCTCAGAAATACGAATGCTCTGCTAAACTAATCAGTAATAATGTTCACAGCTTACTGTTGAAATTCAAGCCAAGTGTATCCATAATTATCTAAGTTTGAAAGTTATTTTAACGAGTCGTAATTTTAAAAGACTTGTATTGTATTGTATATATCATGTAGACTCAATCATCCTGTCGCACTTCGTCTACGCACAGCTGCAACAGAAGATGTCTGGGTGTCAGAAACTATATCAACACGACGTTCAACTTTCGCATACACCAAATTTCAGAGAGAAGCTTGTATACGAAATAAATATAATGTAAAATTTCTTGTTTGAGGTCTATTTGAAGGAAATATGCGATTATTGTACAGTGCTAGTAGTTCTTAATTTACCCCTGGATATGTCCCTTTAATAAAATATTCTTACTAAGACTGAGTAAAACTAAGCACTGGTTGGCAGCCTAAAATTTTGTCCATACCTAACCTACATATGAGGGAACCATCACTTTGTACCCTGGGTATTAATCGATATATCAAAATAGAATTTGTTTTGAGGAACATCAGAGATCAAAAGAATGTTGAAAAACAGGATAATAAAGAGGTAAACAATAAGATTATCAGATAATAAAGGTCATTAATAAAGAAAGGTCATTAAGTATTAGGTTACTGATAAATATATAAAGAAACTTAATTAAACTTAAACAGAAAAAATTTCTTATTAAAACATAATAAAGGATTTGGATGGAGGTACAGTTGATAATGTTCTTAAGTTATGTTACAAAGATTTATGCAATCATAAGCCAGAGCACTTTTTGTATTCACAATCAAATGTAAATTTTGGATCAGACTTGGATGGTGTCTGTGCATACATAACTTTGCTCGACTGTAGTGATTGAAAATATAAAAATATTGTGTTTATAGTTAAACATATGATTTGAATTTTCTGTGAATGCACACAAATATGTGAAACTTAAGAGATTTATTAATTACATTATTCTTATCTAAGCATTGTTTGATAACGGAAGCTGTATAGTAAAGTCCATAATGTTTATCCAACCTAATAATCTTACATAATGATTTTCCTATGTATTATTGTTATAAAGATGATGATAAATTTAATACATAACTTGATTAATCAAATCATAATCGTATTAATGGCAGCAAGTCCAACCATCTGTGATTTTAGTTATTCAAAAGTTACTGTTGAATTAGATATGAACAGTAGTATGTTATATATGACAAGTTACCCTTTTTTTCTATATCTAGGTTCATCTAGTTATTGTTAGGTTATTTTGTTAGTTGTTGAGTTAAAGAATTTTAGTTATTTGTTAAAATGTCTACTGATACTCAATTTAGGTAAGCACAATAGTTTGATATGTCTCTTAACTACCTGTCAATTATATAAGTTCATGTGGTATTCATATGATTCCTCTTATCATGGATGAATATTAATTGTTTTGTATTTAAATGATATATAGCATTTTTTTAAAAGCTCAATTCAAAACTCGTTCTGGTTGTCTTCCGCTAGCTTTCATCAACTAATTATATTCCTTGAACAATGATGCACAACATTTATCACTATAAACATTGTTGATGTACTAGGTTGCCTAATTGAAACATATTATGTTTGATATTTGATTGTAACAAATGAATGCAAACTAATTCAGTTTTTTCTTTGTTGCTTTATTTTCTTTTATTAGAATTTGATGACTTGCAGGCCAATATCGTGTATATGAGAAATATTCATGAATGAAATAAATTGGTAGTTTTAGTAGTACCTTATAGAAATATTTGAGATAAAGCCTTATATTTTGACAAATTTTAATGTGGGATCTTTTTATTTTGATTTCAGTTTGTTACCAAAGGTAATTAATGGAGGTATTGCAGGAATAGTAGGTGTAACCTGTGTATTTCCTATAGATTTAGTCAAAACAAGACTACAGAATCAACGACCAGGCCCTGGAGGTCAATTACTCTACAAAAATTTGTAAGTAGATCCTATCCTTTAAGGCCATAGTTTGCCATTTTCAGTGATTTATTCGGATCTTGAATATTGTGTAATTTACAGTAAACAGTCGTCAGAAGTACTAGAACTTGGCATAATCTCTTCAAATATACTTCAACCTAGGCAAATTCTCAATAAAAGACAAGTCATCGTGTTAACGTTCAAACATAGATAATTCTGGAATGGATTTGAAGGCTCAAATTTCAGATGCGCTGTTAACATTTTTACTGATTAAGCTAAAAATACTCTTTTTTCAGAGACTAGAGTAAGTTTGGCTGAACAGATTGTGAACATGCCCCCTTAAAAACTGCTAGTAAAAATAACACATGCATGAAATTTTTCTACCTGCTTTTTGTACAAGCCCTTTATTTGAAGACATCTTAGAATAAACATTTTTCTATATTTGAAATTTGTCTTTTATAGGGCATGTTTAAACTGTGCTGTTTATATTTCAGATTAGATTGTGCTAAGAAAACTTTCAGCAATGAGGGTTTTTTCGGAATGTACAAAGGTATTATAATCATTTTCTTTTTCAATTCAGAAGTTATTTCAGAATGGAAGTGTTCAATAATACCTTTTCTGTGGATCGTTAAATAACAATGAATATAAAAACATGAGCTGGGTGGAAGCTATTGTTTTCCAACTGTGAGCTTGTCTTGTTGAGAAAAACAATGTATTCATGCACATGTGGTCTAATTCAAAACACGAACAGTTCAATATTATTGACCTATTGTCATTGTCTTTGTTACTACTGGTACTTAAACTACCTTAAAAAATATATTCCACTAAACCTATCTAATGATGTCTGCTACTGAATAGAATTCAATGGAATTAAAATTAAAATATTAACTTAATTGATAAAAATATTTCAATATGTGTTTGCACTCATTGCTTAATGTACTGTCAGTATTTGCCACTGGCCTGACATTCAACTTTGTGATTATCTAATTTTATATGGATGCACTTAAGATTAGTACCTTTCTGTTTATTGTAGGTTCTGGTGTTAATTTACTTCTGATTACTCCAGAAAAAGCTATTAAACTTGTTGGTAATGATTTCTTTAGACATCTACTGAAAACAGATAAGTAAGTATTGATTGACTGATATATGATGATGTATTTTAAGAATGGTAGCTTTCCGATGTATTTTAAATAAAAAAGTCAATGTCTGAATTGGAAATTGGTATAACAACTGTTTACATTTCAAGGGAATAATTTTTATCATGGAATATTTTAGAGGAACATTACCATTAGGAAGAGAGATATTATCAGGCGCTGGTGCTGGAATGTGTCAGATTATTGTCACTACACCAATGGAACTACTTAAAATACAGTTACAAGATGCTGGTAGAAGTGCTGGTATGTTTACTTCTCAATTATCAAGTCAATGTAGTTGATGGTATTTAGCTTTAATTTGGAAATATGTGTATCCTGATATAAAAGCCGATTTTTAAAATGCCTTTATTGTTGCAAAAAATGTTAAAATGTATTTGAGAGTGAGAAAGCGAATTTGGTAACTGCTTGTTGTATGGGACAACTTTGCACTCACATTGTAAGAATATCCCTAAACAATTTTTTTGGAATTTTTTTTAGTGAGAGTACCAGTTGGAAATATAAACAACAGTAGTACTGCTAGAGTTGAAGTACCAGTTGGAAACATCAACAACAGTAGTACTGCTGCTGCACCTAGATTATCAGCTACTAGAATAGCTCAAGAATTATTAAAACAAAGAGGTATATTAGGTCTATATCAGGGTTGTGGAGCAACAGCATTAAGAGATATCACATTTTCTGCTATATACTTCCCATTATTTGCTCATCTCAATGCAATGGTAAGTATTGCTTTATAAATTATAACACAAAATTTACTGAAAAATATCTTTTAGTTCTAGTTCTCTGGTAGTCAAAAGACAGGGATATATTTTTATACAATTTTTTTTATAGTTGATGGGGTGAATCACGATTTTTATCAAAATTTATAGAAAAGATATTTTTAAGAAATATTGCTAGCTTTGTAAAACAGAATATATTCTTATTATATACTGACTCTTATAAACATACTTATGTTTCACAATTATCTTTTTATTGCATGTTCAGGTGTCATATTTTAGGATGAATTTGATTTGATTAAATTAAAATCAGTAGTACAGTACTACAAGTATACGGTATTAACTGCTAGTTACTAATATGATATTTGTTGACATATAAATTTAAGAAAATTATTTGTAGGGTAAAAGAAGAGAAGGAAGTGATCAAGCTGTATTTTACCATTCTTTTCTATCAGGATGTATTGCAGGATGTACAGCATCTCTCACTGTTAATCCAGTAGATGGTATGTATATTCTTTGTTTTTGTCTGTATTATTTTCAGTTCTTAAATGGTTTTAAAATCATGTCTGCCTTAACAAATTATTTGAAATAAACAAGTCTTAATTTTTGTTTCAAGTGTTAAGGTAATGAATTTAAGCTTTAACTTCTTTTCAGCATAATCATTTCTTGTTAAATTGTAACACAATTTGAATTGTAAACCATTGTATATTATAGTTGTAAAAACTAGATTACAAACATTACATCAAGCAGAAGGTGAAGAAAGTTATACTGGTATTATAGACTGTTTTACGTAAGTATTATTTTATGTCTTACTCCAACTACACCTTGGAAAAATGTAAAGCATAAAGTAAGAGTAGTTATTTACTACTTTACATGGCATATCATTACAATTGCCTGGTTTCTCATTCAAATAAAACTTTTTTACTACTTTACATGGCATATCATTACAATTGCCTGGTTACTCATTCAAATAAAACTTTTTTACGTCTATTTTTTACAGGAAGGTTATGAAAAATGAAGGACCAAAAGCATTTTTTAAAGGTGCTCTCTGTCGAATTCTTGTGATAGCACCATTATTTGGTATTGCACAGACAGTATATTATTTTGGTGTTGGGGAGTATTTATTAGGTTTGAATAAACCTTAGATTAGTTATTTTAGTTAGTCATTAGTTATAACTTGTGTATCTGATTAAAGTAGGAAAGTGAGTAACTTTGCTTAATGAAATAGGAAGATATCAATTTTATGTTTTAAATTATGCAAACAGTATCAAGATTTAGCTGATTTACAGGTGATTTTGTAAGATTTAGATTTATCAATCTGCTTATAAATTTCTAAATATTTACTATCATGACAGGGTTATATAAATACTTTTTTATTTTAATATTCTAATTTAACTTTTTGCTAATGATACATGTATAACTTTAGATGTTGACTTAAATGTATTTAACTTCAATGTTAGGGAAAATACATCTTCCTGCTTTATTAGCCCATAATAGAGTCCTTTCATGCTTATTGTGAATGAGATAATAGAAATCTTGAAAACATTGCTGACATGTTTTGGGTGTGATGTTCATCAGACATAAAAATTACTTACCAATTAAGTGGATATTTTAGAAACATGAATAGAAAGCATTCTAATGACCAAAACATCAAGTATATTAGGTACAATTTATGTTAACCTCCAAAAGGTCAATGAGTACTATTAATTCCTTTAACATATGTTTATGAAAATGGATTAATCCAAAACACATACATAGTTCAAGAATCTCAATTTTTATGCCTAATTTGAAATAGAAAGTTTTCATGTAACGATACATATTATCATTATGTCAGTTTTTAGGATTGATACATCTCAAAATATTTTTTTTTATTTCATTAGTGAATTGTTTGTAAATAATTAAATTTATATTTAAAAAATGAGTATGTAGTCTCAAGTTGAAATTGCCAAAACTGCTAAGTTTTTAGTCAAATGGCAAAGCTGATGAGCTTATATTTTTATGTGATTTTCACTGGAATGAATAATTTGTTTATTTCAACTATCTTTTTAATAATTGAAAGGGTTCTGTTTTTATTATGATTTTTCTATGTTGCCATATTTTACAGCAGGTATAATTTTGTTCTATCTTGATTTAGGAATGATTATTATTTTTGTTGACTTGTTATCAATTGTTAGAAATTTGCGTTTATATTTATTTATAAACAAATGGGGCTGTAATAGTTGTACAAAGACAGCATTCAGACAATATTTTATTTGATACTTCTACCTCTATTAAAGAAGACTATTCGTGTTTATGTTTAAATTGTCTTTGGACATTAATCTTTTTGTCCAACTATTGTTTTTTGTGACCATAGTTCAGTTTGAGTTTTGAACTCTATAAACAGCCCTGTAAAGTAATGAAATTTTATTGATTTACACTGTCCACACCCACTTTTTTTTTTATTAGTGCTACAATATTTGATTTGTTTATTTTATGAAATGATGAAATGAAATCAATATATTTGTGATAATGCTTTTAATTTGATTTTAAATATATTTTATTTTTTGATGATTAATACTTCAGTTAACTATGATTATTATATTACTTGAATGAAATGTATATTTCTTATTCTATAAAGGTACCCTCACACCAAAGTGATGAGCAGTTATGTATGATTGCAAATGATGAAAGTGGCTATGAAGTCTGTATGCAACTCACATCTCAGTTGCATGAGAGTTGCTTTCAAAACTTATGACTGCTATTCTTATTCGCTACCATATATAACTGTTGAATGCAATGGTGTGATGGTTACTCTAGATCGTTTTGATTTCTAATATAATTTTTATTTTAACAGGAGTGCTCTTTTGCTATGCTATATGTTTGAAATGGGTGAGTTTTTTGCAACTGTCAATTTCAATACATGTAGTTCCTATTTAATGTATAAATTATTTCTGAAGCACCTCATGACTTTTGTTTTTCTAGAAAAATCTGTGAAATGAAATATGAATGATGCCTAAAGGAAACTTTCAATGTATAATAATTATTATCGAATGTTTTGAAAATGATATAGTAATAATATTTATGAAATGCACTACATATAGATTTCTTTTAATAAAATTATTTATATGTTTTTCCATCTTGTTTCTTTGCACTTCACAGATCTATTTAAAATGAACATTCTCGCTGTCGAGATGATGAAGATTGTTTATTTGAAACTCATGTCAACAGCATGGGATGAGCTCTTCAATTAGCTATGAGTCAAATGTCTACTAACTGTAGAAAATTCTCCTTGTCAGTTACTCTCTTCCAATTTAAATTTATGAACCTGTGAAAGTCTAGACCTGGTATCCAGTATACAGATAATAGTCTATTTTTGTTTCCCTAGTTAGCTTTTTATAGTGTAGACTTGTTATCCTGTAAATGAAAAACGGTCTATTTTTGTGAACCTGTGATAGTCTAGACCTGTTATCCAATATACAGATGATAGTATATTTATTACCCGGTGAACCTGTAATAATCTAGACCCGTTATCCAGTATACAGATGATAGTCTTTTTTTGTTTCCCTGGTTAGCTTTTGATATTGTAGGCTTATTATCCAGTATATGAATGATGGTCTATTTTTGTGACCCAGTGAACCTGTGAAAGTCTAGACCTGTTATCCAATATAAGCCTTACAGATGATAATATTTTATTACCCGGTGAACCTGTAAAGGTCTAGACCTGTTGAGATGATAGTCTATTTTTGTAGTCTCTGACACCCAGACTACGATAGACGCTAATAGTTTTGTTGAATATACCATTTTGCATCAGAAATTGAATGGATATCTTTGAAAGTTCCTTTATTGAACAATTAGTTAAATACATTCAAGTACAATTTGCAAAATTAAACTATCAATAACTGAAGAACACACTGATTTATTTGCATAGCAGTTGAAAAATTGGTCACATTTTTTTTTTCAACTCGAACCAGTCGAAATTCCAATTTTTCACCTAGTTGTAAAGGTCAATCGCAATCTACTGGAGTCAGTCACAATTTCATTTATGACTGGCGTCTGGGTCCAAATGCAACAAAAGTGATATGTGGGTCAAAATCGATTTTTGGTCTTGAAAATCGATGAAGTCCGTTTTATCTGTCTCATTGCTTCCTTGCGATTCCCCCAATGTGCATGAAAGTAAATTTTGATTACTTTGGGAAAATGCGAAAAAGTGCCTACCAAAAAAATCATAGTTTTGTAGGCCTACAGTGTTTTAAACGAACTGGCAACATAGACTCTGTTTCCAAGTCGATTTGTAAATCGGGCAATAAAAACGGAAAAGACTTGTATGATCAAGACTTTATGGCGGGAGATAAAATGTAAACATTACGGTAATTTTATTTCACCTAAATATTCCAAGAAACCTTTTGTGGGATATTGACATTGATCTACTTATCTTTTACCAATCGGTCCGTCCACAATAATTGCTCGTAAACACTCCATTCTTGACCGATTTTAACGAATCTTGGTGTGAGTGTTTGTTAGTTATCACCTGCAGATGAACCCTATTGAAAATCAGAATAATCGAAAAATATTTAGTATGAGTTATTGCCCTTGTTATTGAAAAAATGTTCAAGTCCTAGCCTATAAACACTCAGTATCACCTCAAAAATTCAAAGGAAGTGTAGGACTGAAGGTTGAATATTTCATACTGGTAATTGTTACTGTACTACCAAATATTTTTATTCAAAATCAAAGCTACCAGAGGGTGTACATTACCTTGCCTGGCAAACTATTCTTTTATTATCTTTTTATTTTTTTATTTAGCCACTTCAGTTAGGGTCCAACGACAGCCCTATTGAATGTTCGTCAAATTAACCTTTTGACTTATGTCGATGATGTCTGCTTTAACCAATCGAATTTAACCTTCTCCAGCGCTTGTGTTTTGTGATGCAGTGTTTATCAGGTTAGGTTGACTAATGTTCAAGATGGCTGTTGTTAGACCCTAACTGAAGTTGCTAAAAATAAAAATTCATAAAAAATGAAACAAAAGTTTTGTTCAATTTGAATTAGACTGACTTTTTCCATTGCAGTATTAAGAATAACATGTCCTTGCTTATGTACTAGTGGATTTCTGATTAGATAATGATCATAGTCATTGATCTGTTGCCTGTTGGTGTAGATATATAAAAAAAATAAACCAATATGACAGAAACAAGTGATACATTTTCTATGACTCCACCTATGTCACCTCCATTGACGTTTGATTTAGAAGAGCTTCCACATCATCAACCAAACAATTCAGCAGAAGATTTCATGGAGGTTCAGTCAGGTAATGCTGGTATATTAAGAACCCAGTCAAAAATATGATTGATGAATTATTTCAAATACCGGTATCTATTGATAACTTGCATAAGATATTGGAGCCACATGTAATATTAAAACACTGGTATGAAAAGTAAAGTACAAAAATATTTCTAAGCTGCATGGGGATTTGTATGAACGATTTGATTAAATAGCTCTTTCTTTATTTCAGATGTCCTGTTTGATAGATTTCCTGATTTGTGTTTTACTTGTGCTGGAGAAGTCAGAATAGGAAAATCTAACCTCCATAGTAAAAGTTATTTAAGATATGGTGGACTTAAAAGGTATGTTCAATGTTTGGGTCTGGTTTAGATGTATTTTTCAATTTGAAATTGGTTGAAAATCTCTGAAAAGAATATTGTTAGTGTTTTTGTTGCTTGAGCTTGAAGTTGGTACCATAATTTAACTATTTTATTCCAGATTGTTATGTGAAGAAAAAACAATACATCCTTGGTGTAATAATTCTACTATTGATCTATTTGGCTATCAGTTTATAACTCAGCTTGCTTTATCAGAGGACATGGAGCAGCTCTTTATGTTTGCAAAGTAAGTGGTTGGGGTTGTAGGCTGTGCTGTTGATGGTGCCTTCTTATCACTTTAACAGCTTTGAGTTGGCTTTAGAATTATGTGTATGGAAACGAAACTTAAAATCTTATTTAAAATGGATCAATAATGCACACAGAATGTCAGAGTACTCATAAGAAGTAAATCAATCGGGACCAGGAAAAGATGTTAGATTATGCAGAATACTCAGAAGTTGGATATCACAGAGTGCACTGTACATACTTTCTATTAGTATTTCTTCTCTATTTCCAGGATGTGTATTAACAATATACATAACAGTTCTATAGAGTCAGGCTTCCTTTCTAATCAAGGTACGTAAAATCTTCAAATCTTTGTGATTTCTTTATTTTATTTTATTTATTTAACAAAGTTTGTTCATCAGTTATATATTGATCAATTTTATTTTCATATATTTTCAGCTAGTAAAGTTACACAATTAAATGAAAATAGAAAAAGTTTAAGAACATTTTTTCAGTATATTGTATTTTATATCAAACAGTTAGTAAATATTTTTAAAATTTCATATGCACACACAAAAAATGAAAACAAGCTTTCAAGCGATATGATGTGTGACAAATGTAAGATGCTATGTGATGGTCTATATTTCGTACAGTACACATTTTTCAGAGCGTACAATCTTGTTTTGAACTATTATCTTTGATAAAGCCTCTTGATGTACCCATATTTAGCTTGATCAACTAAAAAATGCAGATTGACAAGATTCTCAATCTCATCTAAATGACAAAATTATTTTATGATATATAGCATATATAATATTGATAGTAAAATGTGAAGATATTCTATTATTTAGATATATGAATAATGAAGAGAAAAAGAACAGCAGTATATTGAACAGTATAATAGATAATTTACATGGCATTTTATTATATATTGGTAAAATTAGTGATTTATCATCATCTATAGTAGTTAACATAGCACAGATAACACAACAGGTATTTAGCTCATGTTTATTACAGATATTATCTTCTTCACTCCTATCTAGCAATTTTTCTTACTTAGTTTAACAGAGGAAACATTTAACATTATGTGAACAATGATTAATGCTCAGTAAAAGTTATAAAGCAAGAGATCAAGGGGATACTTAAAATTGGTTGCTTATCTGAGGTAGGTTGCTTCATGCAAGCAGTATAAGAGCAATGTCCCTTTTAGTTCAGCTAATTTCATTATGATTATTAAGACACTGTCATCTTTATAAACAGGAATAGTGACTAAATTCTGCCTTTTAGTGTTTACAATTTTCTTTTTCCATTGATATTAGAAAGTAACTAGGTGTAGTCCTTGTTTTATGGACATATTGATGCTTTAAGATATACTCAGTGAATTGGCACACTCTGACATAACTTTTATAACAAATACTGTTGAGTTAGCTGCTTGAATTAGTTTTGACCTGATTTGTTTCTTGACTTTTCAGAGTAACAGTGTATTGAGTCATCAATATCATAATTATTTAGAAGTTTATTGGTCTATTGTAGAAATTATTTATACCATCGGTACCGTCAATTCAGGTATGTTGTACTATAGTCTTAGGGTCAATAGACATCTTTGTTAATAAACTTAATCATAAAATGATTGAGAAGTTAATTAGCATGCTGAATTCAAATTTTATTGAAAGGTTGTTGATTTTTGATAGATATCTATGGAATTAAATTTATAAATTCAGTTATCATGTATTATGGTTTATTGAGTTTTTTTTTTGTTTTTAAATTCTAGATTATAGATACAATACACATGTAACAGTTATAGATGAAAATCAACAGAATGATACAATATTTATATATGAAGTAATAGATGTTATACTAACAGATTTGATACATATTGCTGTATATAGAAATAACAAGGTATTTATTTAATTTCTAAAAAGTGGTTCCTTGTTGAACTGAGTTGGACATTTTTATTTTCATATCAGGCTTTAGATAAACATGTTAACTGAGAAGTGAATCTATATATTATTAGACCCCTAACTTTACTTTCATATCCATCAAACCTTACATACATGTATAGCAGTTATTTGAAGATTTTGTTTTTGGGTAGTGTGTGGTCTTAACTGAGCGCTGAATCACTGCACAGTAAGTTATAAAAAATTTCCCTCATTGGTCACTGCGGTATTTCCCAAATTGCTGCAGATAAGAAGAATGTGAAAGTTAATTTGTTATATTTTAGGGAAAAAAATTCTTCATTATTGTGACATATTGTTTCATAGTAAGTAGAATATTGTGCAATCCATATCACATTTATATATAGTATTATAATGAGAGTACACAGTTTATTTCTAGAAAAAAAGATTTAATCAGTATTTTGTTTTGTAGATAAAAAGTGATAATTCAACACCATTTAATTGTACATGTTGTATGGAACTATGGATAATGTTGACACATACAGTACAGAAACTACATACACAATATAATAAAGAAGTAGTTAGATCTTTACCTACTATCATTCTGCCTTTCTCATATTATTATTCCTGAAAGTAAATTTTATAAGAGTTTTACCTTGCATTATTTATCAAAGGAAACTATTCCTGAGCTTCTAACCATTCAAACCTATGCATATGATGTTACTTTTATATTATTAAACTACATACTTCTCCCAGTGATAGTACATCGATACATCTTTCAAAGTGTTAAGCTTTTGTCAAAAATACATAATGATATGAAAGAAGTTTGTATTCAAACTCTCAGGTGATATTGTTTTTTAGTCATTTATGGTAAGATTACATAGAATTTTACAGACATTAAATACTAGCACAGATATATCAGATGATATAGATATTGGTAAATATATTCACTTTGTATAATTTATCTATAACAAGACTAGAACTTAATATTTCTTTTAGCTGAATTTTCAATTAGCCAACATGTTAATGATATAGAAAATAGAGCTACTTGAAAGGCAAGCACAAAAATAGAAATCATTTCTAAGTTTATATTTATAATGGAAGGTTTTAGTTAAGTAGAAACTTGTTTTGAAACTGTTGGTAGGTCATAATTTCAAGAAGACCAGTGCTATCTATTAATATTCCTTATTATTTTCCAACAAATTTAACTTTTAATTTTCCAGATAGTACTATATTTTATAATAATTTTGAGAAACCAAAGAATTATTTACAGTTTTCACTATGGTTGATAGTCAATATAGCTAGATTATATACTGTAGATATTCATGGTAACCATAGACAAATAGTAAGTATACACTTTTAGTTACTTAGTTTCTTTTTATTCTCAATGATAATAAAAAGTCCTGTAAGTTTCATCAAACTTTTGAAGAAACTAAGTAATGATTTTATGTCCTTGACAAAGTTTTTAATTAACTTATTGAAAGATTGAAATACCAGCCTTGAGCTATTTAATTTAATTATATTTTCTTAGATATATTTCAGATGTTCTGTTTTTTTTTTCAGGAAAAAAGTGAAAACAGTTATTGAAAAATTTTTTTAATTAACTTATTGAAAAATTGAAATACCAGCCTTGAGCTATTTAATTTATTTATATTTTCTTAGATATATTTCAGATATTCTGCTTTTTTTCAGGAAAAAAGTGAAAATAGTTATTTTATGTTAGAAACAATAGTTAAGAAGACACTTGCAAAGGTTAGAATTTTTTTTGTTCATAATAATGATGATACAAAAATAATTCCTTGAGCTATTTCTTATCTTGTTGAAAAAAGTTGAAAGAGTGATCTCTCTTGAGCTTTTTTTTTGAGACAGATTTGGGTTTGGTGTCATCTGTTATTCAATATTTAAATGAAATTGAATGTAACAATACTCACAAGACTGTCAGTTGATTTGTTAAGAGTATATTGAATTTTAGGTCAAGATTTCTCTGGTTTTTTTTTACAGAATGATTTGAGTGAATATGAATTAAGAAGTCAGTTAAAGTTATGTTTAACTATTTGTCAATTATGGCAACCTAATACAAGTTTAATTGTTATATTGTGGGATTATTATTTCAGAAGATTGGTAAGATATTATATCGTTTGGATTGCAGACAAATCTTAAAATGTACTTAGTATTAGTATTTTATTACTTTAGATGGAACCTGTTTTACTGTTTAAGACTAAGTCACAATAGTATGTCATTCTCACTCAGGGTTCAAAGGAAGAAAAACTTGACTTGAAATTTATATTTTTTACAAGAACATAGATTTTGTCATGTTATCTAATTGTAGTATGCTACATGCTACTTTATGATAATATTTCTTTGGTATTTCAGAATTCTAATTTTCAGTTGCAGCCCTCTGGTATACAAGGATTAACCACATTAAGGTAAAACATTATACTCAAATAGTAATTTTTGGTCAAAAAATGTAATATTATCTAGAAACATTTTCAATCACTTAGTACTAAATAAAATTTACTTTGCTTTTCAGTACTACTCCCCTAGCTTTACTTGATAAATGTAGAAAATTTGATGGAGGACATTTGGAAAGGTAATACTATTGTGTTTGATTTTGAATTTTGATCATGGTTCGTTTGAGTTGAATACCCATCTAACACTATGGATTGATAACACTATAGAGATAAAGAGTCGATAATCCACAGAATCTTATCTAGTGCATTGTGTTATTTCATCCAATTTCTCATTACAGAATAGATCAAGAAACAAGTTTTGGGTTGTTTTTGAAGATTTTATCTTTCAATTTATCGAGATTTGTTGAAACTGGTTCTTATCAAGAATGGAGACAAATGAAAGGAAGGTATGAGTATGATTTGATGATGTAAATTTTATTTTTAATTCTTCAAACCATAGTTTGTAAGAGACTAAAGAGTGTGTTAACCAGCCTGAAAATTTCTGGATTGTTGTTGTTTGAGACGTTCCATGAATTTTGAGCCCATAATTTTTTAACAAGAAGCATATGAAATGGGCTACTTTTAGCTATCTATAAAAGAGGCTAACTTAATATATACATTTTAGTCCATGAATAGTTGCATAATGAAAAGAGAAATTATTCTTTGATTGGTTATATATAATGTCAATCAACATTTTGCAGGTTTTATTCCAAGTTTCATCAGAGACGATTACAAGAATTATCAGAGACAGGTCTAGAGAATTTTACCAGTTTATTTATAACATTATCTATTACTGTAGAATTAGAGGATGTGGTAAATAGCTTATTGTTTTCATATTTCTAATCTTAATAAGATGATAAACTTCTTGTATGTGATTTTTACCAATATACTTTTTCTTATTATAATATTTCATGAAAGTTGTCAAGAAGACAGGGTGTTACCTGCTAACCTCGATTGGGCAACAGAGGTCTAGGACCTAGTTATCTTCCAGTAATTATTTGCTTCACCAACTGATGAAGTGCAATTTAAATTATATTTTTAGAACTGTTCAGAATGAAGATGTGTCTACATTAGTTTTGGGGCCATTTCAAGCGTAGTTATTTTAGAATGGATTGTCACTTAATTTACATAAGATCTGTGAATCTTTATTTCAGGCTGGTAAACTGGTAGATTTTTATAATATGTTAGAGTTTAAGTTATTATCTATCAATAAACGCTGTGTTATATTAAGAGGTTGTCTAGCTTTAATACATATCTATGTTGAAAGAAATATGGATACTTGTTTTATTGTGGATAAGATTGTAAAGTATTTTGATATCTTGTGTAGGTAAGTTCTGTCCTGAAAAATCACTAATTAATAATTAATAACAGAATTTGTAACATCACTTATATCAAACATCAATCTTTTTGGCACAATTCTTGATGGGTTTTGAGGAAACTTGGTATGAGCATTTGTAATCAACTAAGGATGAACCCTATTGAAAATCACACAAATCAAAAAATATTTTGTACGAGTTCTTGAAAACACATTTAGCTAAACATTTTTAGCTCTTAAACACTCCAAATGCACAATCCTTGACTGATTTTGACGAAACTTTGTGTTATTGTTTGTAATCACTCATGGATTAAAAATCAGGAAAACTGAAAAGTATTTTATATTAGTTATTGCACTTGTTCGTGGAAACATGTTCAATTTTTAGCTTCTATATACTCTACAAGGCACAATTCTCAACAGATTTCGACGAAACTTGGAAACACTTTCAATTTTTAGCCTGTAAACACTTTAAGGCTTGATTCTTGCCAGATTTGTCGAAACTTTGTAATATTGTGCAGTATTACCTGAAAAATTTAAAAGAAGTGTATGACTGAAGGTTGAATATTTCATACTGGTAATTGCTACATATATTTTTATTTAAAATCAAAGCTGCCAGTGCCGGATTAGCATAATCTTCGGCTTGTTTCCGAAACCTCACTTATTTTCTGTAAAAAATTTTATTTAATATAGAAATAAAATATTGTTTAATCTCTTAAAGCTGCCAGTGGGCGTATATAACATTGCCTGACAAGCTATCATCTTCTCTATCTAATAGTTATGTGTATTAAAAGGAGGTCATTTATCAATTATTTTTTATTTAGAAAGTTCATACAAATTTATGTTTTATTAGAGAAATGGAGGAAGTTGGAGATCCTCAAAAACATCACAGTATCTGGAAGTTATTTTCTTTGTATATCGATAGTTTCTTAGATATATTAGAATCAAATTCCACTTTATCCTGCTCACAGTATAAACTTTTAGGTTTGTAATTTTATTTGAATAATTTGTATTTCATATTTCGAGAGATTTTTTAATGTGCTTTCATCAGACTAGTGTGTCATTTTGCTTGGAAGCAACCAATTTAATAGTTCACATTTATTTGTTGCCCTTGACTTTGACATTATTGTTTTAGATCATCACCATCTGCAATCTAGATTGAACCAAGCCATTTAGTACAATTACTTTGTTTGTACATTCATGACTTGTCATGAGTGAAGACAAATTTGATATCTTGTCAAAGATTCCTCAACTCATTTTAGGTAATGGTCTTGGTAATGTATGGAATAATTTGGGACAGAATGAATTAAGACATTGTTTAGGAGTATTTACTAATGTCCTTGCTAAATTAAGGTCAGTATACATTTACATAGAAATAGTTTTCACTTGTAGAGTTATCCTTTCTTGAATATCTGCTAAAAACATATTCTGGGACTTAATTTAATACTTTGCAAAAATTGTGAGGATATGGTGGGAATAGAATTGGTGGTGAATAGTGTTGAAACGGTTAGTGAATTTTAGGAACTGGGTAATCGTTGGCATTAACCGTTTGTTACCCGGTTAATTACTAAAGATTATAAAAGGAGTCAAAAACCACATTTCCGGCAGTAACTCATCGTTAACAAAACTAGAGTAAGTGTAAATGAGTACCCAGGAAGATTTGGCTAGTTCCCGGCGAATGTTCGGTACAAATCAAAAGGTACCAAACAACCCTTTGAAGCGTCTGCTTCAATGTAAGATTAGAGCGGGCCTGACAGAGTTCAGACGGACTGGTGCCATTGTCACTCATTGCTACAGTCTCTAACAGATCAAAGGTTTTTATACCAGTTGTGGGGTCAGTGTAATGAGTGTATCTCATTGAAGTCGCCGCAAATCAGTGTACAGGTTCCACAACTGGTATTAAACTATTGTCTCAATGAATCCGTACTCATGAATAAGCTTGAAGCTGATTGACAGACAAGAAGAAACAAACAGTCAATTAGAGGAGAGTTAATAAAAAGTAATACAATCTTTATAACTGTTTTTTTCTCGTACCCAATTGAAATAGTAAAACTAATAACAAAACTTTTTAAAACACTAGAACATGCTTAAAAAGCACTGTGTTACATTCCGCAATACAATGAAAATAATAACAAGATTCAACAAACCGCGATAATGTTTAACCTAATTAACATAACGGTGCACATGGCGACTGTCGACAAAGACCATCGTGACGCGATTATCTAGAACGAGTAATTAGTTGAACTTATATCAAAAAAGAGGCTTGATAATCTTGACCACAATTCTTGCATCTCGTTAGTGTTTTGATAATTGATACCCTCTTGATTTATTAATCTCAATTATTCAATCAATAAAGATGTTAATTTACTAAAGAAACAGCTTAAAGACTCATTCAGTGACAAATTTTCTGTCAAAATTGCTCTCTTTTTACTTCTTATAAAATTAACGGTTAACCGTTTCAACACTAGTGGTGAACATGTAGCAAATTCTTATAGGATGCTTTAGGTCACAATTTTTCAGTTATATGTTTCATAAGAAACAGAATTCTTTAACACTTTTATTTGCACTATTATGTTAAAATTCTTGAAAATCTGTATATATATGTAGAAAGGCAATCAGTGTATTTGAATATTGAATTTAGGTCTATTATGGAAAACCATGAAGCGAATCCTCATCTACATCAAACATCTACATCTCAACATGGAGGTAAATTTACATCATCTTGTAAACATGCATCAAAAATAAATAAACATTTTCATCCCATTTTTGATATTTTATTTTGTATGTTCCACATACATACTTTTTGTTGCAAAGTGAGATATAACTGTCATTGTGATAAAACAAATTAATAATGATGTTGTTGATTTTCACTTATAGATAAGCTACCTATGTGAAACTGAATTGTTTGAAACAGTGATTTGAATACCATACTTAATAGTTATTTATTTATTTTTTTACAGAATTAGCCCATGCTTTATGGCAGTTAGTTTTTCCTTTTATTAAAGAACATAGTTGTACACAGACACCACCTTCTAACCTAGCAGATTTAGCTTCATCTTTTACTATGTTATCACATCACATGTATGTTTTAGCATTGAAATATAAAAATAGTATGAAATCATAGTTTTCACTAAGATGTATTGGATATTTTGATATAGATGGTATCATCATTAGTTATACTAACAATATCTTCAAGAGCGTATGAACTACTACAATATCTTATTATTGAATTGCAAGAGAGCTGAATGTTGGATTTTATTTTTGAAAAAATTCTATTAAGAGCTAAAATAAGGCTATTCACTGATAAAGTAAATATGCTCTTGAAAGCTTAATCCATAGAAGCTATAGTATCTTTTTTGTTTCAGTCCACCCTCATTAGTACCAGCTGATAAATATGTTAATCACTTTAAATATTTCGGCTTATCAGAAAATGTTCATGTTAGGTTTGTATTTTTTCACTGAATTTTTCTTAGCAACATAAAGTTATGTGTATCGAATTTTGTAAATGAAATATTTCAAGCTTAGATTTGTAAAACATTCATCTTTGGAGTTTTGTAGTCTCATGTGTTGTGTCCCATTGATTTTTACAGCCAGTGTCATTGGGAATTGGCTATAACTTTGTTCTGATGTTCTCTTTGCATTAATTGAAGTGACTTCAACTATAAAATATTGCTACTTCAATTTATTCAAATTTTCTTGTTTTATACTTACAGTGTAAGTTGTCGGTATTTATCATTGGTATTTAACGAAGCTGGTGCCAAAGATTCTATATTAAATACATGTCAACAATCAACATTAATACAAGCCTGGTTCCGTTGTATTATATTATTACCTTCTACAACTCTTGAATTACATAATATAACCAGGTAAATACATGTCAACAATCAACATTAATACAAGCCTGGTTCCGTTGTATTATATTATTACCTTCTACAACTCTTGAATTACATAATATTACCAGGTAAATACATGTCAACAATCAACATTAATACAAGCCTGGTTTCCGTTGTATTATATTATTACCTTCTACAACTCTTGAATTACATAATATAACCAGGTAAATACATGTCAACAATCAACATTAATACAAGCCTGGTTCCGTTGTATTATATTATTACCTTCTACAACTCTTGAATTACATAATATAACCAGGTAAATACATGTCAACAATCAACATTAATACAAGCCTGGTTCCGTTGTATTATATTATTACCTTCTACAACTCTTGAATTACATAGTATAACCAGGTAAATACATGTCAACAATCAACATTAATACAAGCCTGGTTTCCGTTGTATTATATTATTACCTTCTACAACTCTTGAATTACATAATATAACCAGGTAAATACATGTCAACAATCAACATTAATACAAGCCTGGTTCCGTTGTATTATATTATTACCTTCTACAACTCTTGAATTACATAATATAACCAGGTAAATACATGTCAACAATCAACATTAATACAAGCCTGGTTCCATTGGGTTATATTATTACCTTCTATAACTCTTGAATTACATAATATAACCAGGTAAATACATGTCAACAATCAACATTAATACAAGCCTGGTTCCGTTGGGTTATATTATTACCTTCTACAACTCCTGAATTACATAATATAACCAGGTAGATACATGTCAACAATCAACATTAATACAAGCCTGGTTCCGTTGTATTATATTATTACCTTCTACAACTCTTGAATTACATAATATAACCAGGTAAATACATGTCAACAATCAACATTAATACAAGCCTGGTTCCGTTGTATTATATTATTATCTTCTACAACTCCTGAATTACATAATATAACCAGTTAAATGCATATATAACTAGGTAAATACATATATAACCTCAATGCACTTGTGACAGTGATGTATTATTGTATTGCTACATCAAAGGATATAGATCATTCTAGTTTTTTAAATCTATTAATTTCTTGGCATTACTGCAGCTTTTCTCAAATACATTAAATTTCTAAATCAATTTTTACATTACTAGTCCCAATTACTTATAAATAGCATTGTGGAATCAGATTATCTTTGTCTCTGTATATTATAAAAGCAGAAAAGATTACCAACATATATTATAAAAGCAGAAAAGATTATCAACCAGAAATCCATTTTGGTTTTCTGAAGTTTAATTTGAGTACTGCATAGCTCATTAATTCTCAAACTCTCTATTCAGGGTAATGTTGGAATTGAGTGAAGTGAAGAAAGTTTTAAATGATGTTGGACAAAGTTCTATCCCACAAATAGAGAACGCACCTAAGATATTTATTAAGTCTCTAGGTAGACTTTATCAGAATGCTCAGGTATTAATACCACTACCATCAATGATTATGTACTGCTTCAAGATTTATGACCAAGAGTAACATCTGAGAAATTTCCAATAGATTTTTATTTTGAATATTTAGAAAGGTATCTTTGAACTAAATGTTTAGATGTTAGAACTATTTAAAGATGACATATAATTTTATTATCAATAATGAATGTGTTTATATTATAGAATTTAAAGGAGAAAATGATATTAAGAGATCAAGTAATGTGTTATTTTTCTTTAATACCACAACATGTATCACCAGTATTAAAAATAATGGGACCAGGAGATATACTACATAATATATTTATTACAGTTGGTTATATAGTAAAACATTGTGCTCCATTACTATTCTTACAGGTAAATTCTTTACAACTTACATTTATCAAACACAACAGAATTATATGCATTATCCTTTGATGTGGAATGACCAGCAGACTTAGATATTTTCTTTGGAATCAATGAGCCTTGAAAATAATCTCTTTTCAGCCAACATTTTAGCGGTAATGTAAATTAGATAAAAACTATGCCATTATTGAATCAAAATTTGATTGCACATTATTTGACTAAAGCAGAACATTGTCAGATCATTGATGCCCAGTGTATTAAGCTTCAAAAAGGAACAGGAAATAAACCTGTATTACGAAGATTGACAAATTTTATGTCACGGTTTGTTTTGTATTTCAGTCTAATCCCAACTGTCCCCTACCAGCTATAATATCAGCTATGGTAACACCTCATTTTATTCTTAATACCAACAAACCTGTTAATTCAGCATTCCTAGCTGTACTTAAAGATACACTTTATATGGTATGTATGTATATCTTTCTGTAGTATGATAACTTTGGAATTTTCCAAATCATCAGTATTCCAGTTCACCAAAAATATGCATGGTTATAACATTTGTTTCAAAAGACAATGAATTAAATCATTTTTAAATTGGGACATTGAATGCTTGTTTTTGGTTATTTTCTGCTTCAGCATTTTGAAATCTAATATTTTTACCTTCTCAGTATGGTGGATTATTATCATAAAATGATGTATATTTTAGTTTATTCAAGGATTAAGTAAGTTAGATTTTAGAAGAGCGCCCTATGTTGAGAGAAGATTAAAAGATATAGTTGGTATTTATTTAGAAAAGTTTTCTATCGTAAGTACTTCATGATTTGAAAGAGATGACCTTCATAAAACCAACAACACCACAAGTTATAAATATGTTTTTATTTCTGTTGAATAGGCATTGTTACAGGAGAAATGTGTAAAATTTGATTTTTATGACTAGAGGCACCATGTTTTTGTGTGATCTCCTCAGAAGACTTGCTAAAAGTGATTTCCAACTAAAATTTGTGAAAAATATCTAAGGAATAAAGCTTTCTTTTTTTGAAGTTATGGTAATGGGTTGATCAACATGGATAAGGAATTTAATAAGGACAAAATTTAAATACCTTTTACAGATAATAGATATATTTAACTTTCTTTCAGAAATCTAGTAGCACTTTTAATGAATCAACATCTATTCATCCATTAATAGTAAGTATGGTACAACATTTTCTCTTCATTACAGTACTTGCTTCCCATGTTATATTAGCAACGATTGAATGTAAATAGACAGTCTCTCAACCTGTGCCTCTTCTGTAGCATCATTGGCCATTATGTTGGCCACAAAGAATTTAGGTGCTTCCTGGTCAATTCAATTCATAGTGTTAAAAAAGTCTGATTCTTTGAGGTATATCCAAGGAATAATATAGACAATCAATTTTAATGGTCTTGTACAAAGAGACAAAAAAACTTATAAAAAAAAACATTCTTTGTGACTGTGTCACTTTTAAATTGCGGAAGTCTTATTACAAATATATGTTCTATTTTCTATTACAGAGCTGCTTGAGTGAATCTTTTATTAAATCACCTACACAACAAAACATCAATTTCCGGCATTTTATATTTGAAATAGTACATGAGAAATATTTGAGGTTAAAAAATTTGACCTTGCCGTCTTCAGCTAATCTAGTATGTATTTAATTAATATTACATTGGCTTAAGCTGAAGGTTTTATTTTAACTGAAATTTCCAATCTCAAACATTTTTATACGCCCACATGAAATGGGGGGCGTATATTGTCGTCACCCATGTCCGTCGGTCGATACGTCCGTCCGTCCGTCCACAATTGCTCGTAAACACTCTACAGGGCACAATTCTTGACGGATTTTAACGAAACTTAGTATGTGTGTTCGCAATCACCCAAGGATAAACCCTATTGAAAATCAGTGAAATCGAAAAATATTTAGCATGAATTATTGCCCTTGTTAATTTTAGCTCGTAAACACTCTACAGGGCACAATTCTTGACAGATTTTGACGAAACTTGGTATGAGTGTTCGTAATCACCCAAGGATAAACCCTATTGAAAATCAGCGAAATCGAAAAATATTTAGTATGAATTATTGCCCTTGTTCTTGCAAACCGTTCAATTTTTAGCTCGTAAACACTCTAGAAGGGACAATTCTTGACAGATTTTGACGAAACTTGGTATGAGTGTTCGTATTCACCCAAGGATAAACCCTATAGAAAAATCAGGGAAATCGAAAAATATGTAGTATGAATTATTGCCTATATTTTTGAATATAATCTGCAAATACACAATTCATGACAGACTTATTGAAATCACCCAAGGATAAATCTGATCAAAAATCTTGTACAACATGTAATTTTTATTCTACAAAGGAGAAGTCTAAAACAAATTTGACAACTTGATGAAATTGATCACAATCAAAACTAAACCTTTTGAAATATAAAATACAAGTTATTGCCGTTATTCTTACAAATGTGTTTGATTTTTAACTTGTGATGGCACAGCTTGTGATGGATTTGGGTATAAGTTGAATATTTCCTGGTGTCTATGTTTGCTATTTTCTAACAAATATTCAATTTCAAACAAAGCTATCAGTGGGCGTATATTACCTTGCCTGGCAAGCTATCTTCATTATATTGTTATCAAAACTCATGTGTTTTTTTTTCATCTAGGGTCTGTTGTATGTAACTGAAGTTTTTCAGAGAACATCTAGTGGAGAAGTTATTGCTAGGTTAGTTTCCATTTATTCGAAATCCCTATTATAGAAGTTAAAAGCTGAAGTCAAATAATGTTTACCAAATTTAACTCTCAACTATCTCCAACAATTTCTTTACTTGTAGATATTGTTTTATGTTACACAATTACAAACATCACATGCATATAGTGTTGGCTCACTGTTATTTTTTTTTTTTTTATAATATTCCATTATTATATATGTACAAGTGTGTAGTTGCGCAAATATATTTTTGCACATCCTGGTTCAAGTTAAAACATGAATATGAGCAGTCTATCTTCTTTTGGGCAGAATAAATGGAAATTGAGAAATAAGCAAGATTTTTTCTGTCTATTACTACACTACTTACACTACCTAAACATTAAGTGGATGTACAAAATAATCTTTATTATATACAGTATTATTTTTGCAGAATTGCTAATTGGATTTACTCATTACATAAGTGTCATGTCAGTAGATCATTATAATAGTGTAATATGATATTATTTTAACCAACCATTGCTGATGTGATACTTTGTAGTATGTGGGTGTTTATTTCCAATCAGCTAGTAAAATAGTTGTTTTCGTTTAATTTAAATTACAGAGATCATAAAGTATTAATGATGACAATATTAGAATATATTCTATTTTCAACTACACCAGCTATGAAACAACATGCTAGCAAAATAATGCAGTTTATATTGGAAGCTTGTTATAAAAACTCTTCAATTGTACCTTGGTATGTTGTTAATCTTTCAACAATTCTCTAAATTAAGTGTAATTTTCCCCGTTCAGAGATAATGTAAATCATTATTAAACTATGGTATTGTTGGAGAAAATCTTCTTAAAGAAGAAACATTTGAACTATTGATTGATGAATCAGCTCTACTTAGTAGTGTTAAAGGCTTAATTCTTTTTCACTCTAATATATAATGAAGCTCTCTCAAGTTTGAGCTCCTGTTTCCTTTCAGAACTCAAATCTGACTAAAATAAGCTTAATTTAAAAACAAAGATAAAATATATAGTGCATATGGAAATGACAATATAAGTCAAAACATACATGTTGAATATTTACTATTTAAAGTGATATGGTAACTTATGCTATAATATCTATAAATAAAGAGGTTTATATGCTACTAATATGATGTATTATATATTACAGTAAAGAATTAGAAGTTATAATAAGAAGGTTTATTGAGTTATATTATAAGATGTATTTTGATGGTGTATTTAGTATATTAGAGACTATAGCAGTACTATATCAAGATATAATAGTTAATCTGGTACCATACTGTTCTGAGTTAGTCATCAATTTAGAAATTAAACGTGGTGCTGGTTTAGATAGTAAAATTAGGTAAATTAAACATTCTGTTTAAAGGTACTTTATGGGATAACAGTAATTTGAACTGTGTTGAAAAAAATGGCATTTTAAAAAGGTCATTACTACTCAAGAAGTATCAGACTGAAAAATCATTCTCCATTCCCTGCCTATTTAACAACAAAAACTGACAAAATTAATTTTCTATGGTGCTATTTTTGGCTTTGTTCAATACCTTTCTTTATTGTAAGTAAATCTTATGATGAGCTAAAATTGCTCTATTTCTGTTGTTTTTTCTTTAAAGGGGCATTCCGCTTTTTAGTAAAAAGTTTTATTATCAAAAACCTTGTAAATTATACCTGAAAATATTTCTAAAGTATGCTAATGTATGTTCTTGATCAAACTGAATTTGTTTTAAAAGGTTTAATTAGAGACAGAGAATACTAATTGTTAATTATGAACTTTGACCTATTTTTGGTGTTTGGCTTTATAATGACTCGGTACTACTAGTTGAAACCTTTACAATACGTAGGAGACATATTTCTCTACAATTAGGCATTCATTTCACTTAAATCTGTACAGCAGTTTTCTAACAGCTTCCAATAAGCATAACGAAATTATAAACCGTATGCAATGTTTATAAATATTTTTGGCATATAAAAATTAATGGATTTTGTTAGGTAAAACTTTCAGATATGTTAAAAGGCACATTTCTCTAGACTTTGGTGTATAGTTTTCACAAATTGGAGACAAAAAAATTTTCAACTTACAGAAAAGCAGAACATCCCTTAAAAATTTGGTGACAGTAAAGCAAACATTTTTCTTAAAGGATTTCATTTAATTATGGATTGACGAAAGTTCACATAGCTAATACTATAATGATGAATATGAAATATGATCATTTTTTGACTGCAGGCTTCACTCCTTTAACTGGTAATTGGAAGTTAAGTCTCATTCTCTCATGTAATTTATACACTGTTTGCTATAGTTCTCTAACATACTTCAGTAACAAAGACAATATTGTGATGAAATATTGATTTTAGATACAACTATGTTCTATGCATATAAATTGTTTTTCAAGGAGAAGTATAATCTATACTATAGAGTATTAAAAGTCCTGAATATGAACTTGTTGAATATTTTTCAATCAATCAATCAATCAAAGATATTTTTTAACTTGAGAACTTACATACTTTGACTGACTGAAGATTACTGCATGGTTTAATATTTTGATTTGTTCCAGATGCACTCAAATATCTTTGCTCAATTAAAACATAGGAATAATATGATATAGAAATGTTCTTACAAGAGTTTGATTGACAGGTTTATTAAATAAAATGTTAGGTATAATTTGACATCATTGACCATGTGTTGGTGTTTTTTTAAAAATATGCTGTTGCCATTTTGTAACAATTTCCCATTAGGTTATGTAGGTAAGCTTTATCAAACTTTCAATTTATATTTCCACTAGAATGTAATCAGACGCGAGCCATTTTCTATTCCGAAGACAAACAGAAAATGTAATGAAGTGTAAGAAGACAGATGAGAAGTGGAACGAGTCAGACACATTATTACAATGTATTATTTAACATTATTTATTTTATTCTAGGAAAACCTATTACAGTTTATTACACTTGGTGGGTGAAGTTGGTTTATTAGAAATACAGAGATTACAACAAACTACTTCTACTAATACATGATAGCTTGTATTGTATACAATTACTGAAGAAATCTGTGATAACAGAGTAGTAGAGGATACTTCCTTACCTTTATCATGTTACAGAAATATATGAGAGCTGCAATTTTATTACTGAAGAAATCTGTGATTATAGTGTAATAGATGCTATGCTCCCTGACCCAGAATAACAGGCCAGCTGCAATTCTATTGTGAATTCAGTGTAGCATTAAAGAAAACTGCTGTGAAAGAAAACAACTTCCGCTTCCTTGACTAAGTGATCTTGTTTCAAATAAATATCTTAGACTGAGATTAACACATGGTTAATTAATCTATAAACTTTGATTCAGAAATAACATTTAATATCTACTACTGAAATTGCTAGTTAAAAGGTACAGATTCGCCAGTTTTGGGGGTTGATTTGGGTTAATATGTGTCAATTGTGTTCAGAATAATTAGAAATGTGCAAAAATTGCACAATTCATTCAAAATATATCTCAAACTAGGAATTCCTCTTATTTCTATATCTGTCTTTTCTATATATGGCAGGAGCTTTTTAAGTCGTCTTTCAAATGGAATAATTTTAGACGCACATGGATTTTGAAAGCTCAAATTTGGACGGTGAGCTGCGAACACTATTACTGATTGGCTTAGCTTGAAAATTCCCGTTTCTGAACCAAGACTAAGGTACGATCAGTCAAAAAAAAATGGCAAATCTATCCCTTTAAGTGTGTTCCTAGAAGTCTATAAGGGTTAATAATACAGATTTTTTCATCTCCATATAACTCCATAGCCTTAATTGACTATAATCTATTGATGTAAGAGAACTGACAAGTTTTGGGTTTGTTTCTTATCCTGTCATTCACTTGTCTAATTTGCATGGTGGTGTTAATAGAAATAATAGAATGTCTCAGTATATTGTGTGGTGTATAGAGAAGGTTTAGTGGAGTAAAGAAAAGATGTTAGAAAGAAAGAATAGTAATAGAAAGATTAATGGACTAGAGCTAGAGGAAGAACTATAGTATCAATCTATTTTAACTAAATAATCAATAAAGCATCAATAAAAGGTAATAGAGAAAATTACATAAGGTCACTTCAATATGTTCTCTATTATCTATCTCACAGACATCATTCATTCTTCATTCCATTATCTAATATCAACACATTTCATTCTATATAGACTGTATTCTTGTATTATAATAAAACAATCATATATATTCTTATAGATCTTTTTATGGTGATGTGATTCAGGTGCTCTTTTCTCAGGTTCGCCTTTTTGGACTCTTCAAATCAATTTAATAAACCCCTGTGCCACATCAAAATTAAAGTAGGCTTTTACCCTTGGGTGGAAAACAAGGGCTCTGACTCGATATTAATATGTATGCATAGTATTTTCCTTGTTATCAATGTCAGTATGAAAATGAATGAAGAGTGATAATGTTCTATGTTTTGCCATCAACTGTTTCCATTCTCAGATGTTTGACAATGTCCAAAGTTATCTCTTTTTTCATCTGACACACATTGTAATCCTTCCTCACAAGGACATAAATAGCCTTCAGGTTTATGTAAACAGAATTCACCCGATCTTAGTTTTGGTTTACACAGGATATAACCTTCGGCAGGTTTCATAACATCTCGAGGAACATAAACCTACAATATATACATGTATAGCATATGGAACAGGTTTATATGTACAATCGACAATCGATGGAATACTCCGAATAGTCCTAGACATCAGAATAGGGTTGATATTTTTCTTAATTCCTTGGAAAGTCTTAAAGCAGTTGATTGATTCATAGTGTTTCAAAGTCATTGGTTCCAACAACCTCAACAGTCGATCCTTTGACATTTGGTTAGTAATACTGATTGCTGGATTCAGATTGTCAGAATTTCTTTATTAATCCGATTTTGAAATGTACTCACCTCTTTCACGCAACAGTATCCATGTGGACACGAATTCTTCTCATTCGGATTACACTTAACACCATTTTGTGGTCGATTACTCCCTGTTGACTGCAAGTAGTTCAAAAGAGAGACATGTTATTGATTGGATGTTGCCCTTGCCTATCATAAAGCATATAGGTGAACTAGTATAATTCAGTTCATTTTACACTATTCAATGGTCTTGATTACATAATAGGCATACCAAGGATATTAGCACCATTACATTATCTAGATCTATATCTGTTTTGTAAAAAAAAGCTCACATGATAATTCTTATACTCTTTCAACCAAACTTGTTTGTTCCGAAAATTCAGTACAAAAGCTCTTTCTAATGCGTCTTCAATACACGCTTTTAATATTTCAGAACCTTAAAGCTATAGTCCTTTTTGTAAACAAAATTTAATAATGAATCAACCCTGTAGATTTAGTTCTTATTGTCACCAGACTGATGGATGTGTTAAAAAAAGATTTCGGCGTATGGAGATGGTAATGAACTGTATGTAAGGTTTCTAGATTGTCGTTAATGATATCCGGAATAGTATTGATCTTTGCTACACAGTTCTATGTCAATCTGTGTGAGGGTCTCAGTTTAGGTCTTAACAACTTGATAAGAGATGATTAATGATGCATTCTGTAACATTAGATGCCTTAATCAATAGTGGAGAAGTACAGACTATGTTAATTATTCCACACTCAAAAGATGGTATAGGTTCATGACATCATATACTTGAATCAAGTATGAAAAGTCGTGTAAGAAATTCTCGTGAAATATTTATTCATTTGTTAATAGCGTCTGTATAAGATTAACGATTAAAAATTCATATCTTCATATATAAAATTCATATATTTTTTTCTCTTGGATTCACAGATACATTGTAATATTTCACATGAAAAATCTATTGGTAACTGTTCTTATTATAGCATCCCTCTGAATTGTTATTACAGTCAATCAGTCAAATCAGCCATTTCATGAAATGCCTGAAATGTTTAGCCTTTTCATGAAATGACCGATTCACTCAGCCATTTTTTAATTTTGTGATTATCAGTTCAAATACATCTTTAAATCAATGCAAATGATTTTTGCACTTAATAATTTAATAATAATAATAAGAGTTATGGCCACAGCTTGTTATGGTCCATGGAAAACCAAGACATCCCCAACGCCAGGGCTCAGTGGAGAGAGCAAATAGCGACATTAAGGACATTCTCATGCCCTTCCCTAAGAATTTTGATTTTAGCCATTTCATGAAATGGCTGGAGCAAAATTTTAGCCATTTTCTGAAAAGCCTGAAATATTTAGCCATTTCATGAAATGGCTGAGTGAATTGGTCATTTCATGAAAAGGCTAAAAATTTCAGGCATTTCATGAAATGACTGATTTCACAGATTGACTGTAACATATACACATAATATATCGTAACTGTAAATGATCATCAAGAAACAGATCTCCAATGGTTTATAATTTCCAATCGCACATTGAATGATTATTGCTAACAGAACTTTCACGGTGGACCGTTTGTGAAACTGATTTTTACTGTGATGTACTCATTACAGAACCAGCGCAAATTGATACAAGTTTCAATTTACAACGATACAGTAACATACCCATTAGAAGCCCAATTGGTATACGAAAAAAATTATGTAGTGGGTATATCATAGTAAAATTTCATGAAAAATTATCATATCTTAATGTATATATAATGATAAATTGCCATGAAAAATCTATCAATTTAATAGGTATATCACTAACTTACCATGTAACATCTATCATTTTAATAGGTATATCACTAACTTACCATGTAACATCTATCATTTTAATAGGTATATCACTAACTTACCATGTAACATCTATCATTTTAATAGGTATACCACTAACTTACCATGTAACATCTATCATTTTAATAGGTATACCACTAACTTACCATGTAACATCTATCATTTTAATAGGTATACCACTAACTTACCATGTAACATCTATCATTTTAATAGGTATATCACTAACTTACCATGAAAAATCTATCAATTTAATAGGTATATCACTAACTTACCATGAATCATCTATCATTTTAATAGGTATATCACTAACTTACCATGTAACATCTATCATTTTAATAGGTATATCACTAACTTACCATGTAACATCTATCATTTTAATAGGTATACCACTAACTTACCATGTAACGTCTATCATTTTTTCAATAGGTATATCACTAACTTACCATGAATCATCTATCATTTTAATAGGTATATCACTAACTTACCATGTAACATCTATCATTTTAATAGGTATATCACTAACTTACCATGTAACATCTATCATTTTAATAGGTATACCACTAACTTACCATCTAACATCTATCATTTTAATAAGTATATCACTAACTTACCATGAATCATCTATAATTTTAATAAGTATATCACTAACTTACCATGTAACATCTATCATTTTAATAGGTATATACATAACTTATTGCGCAACATCTATCATTTTAATAGGTATATCACTAACTTACCATGTAACATCTATCATTTTAATAAGTATATCACTAACTTACCATGTAACGTCTATCATTTTTTCAATAGGTATATCACTAACTTATCATGTAACATCTATCATTTTAATAGGTATATCACTAACTTACATGTAACATCTATCATTTTAATAGGTATATCACTAACTTACCATGTAACATCTATCATTTTAATAGGTATATCACTAACTTACCATGAATCATCTATAATTTTAATAAGTATATCACTAACTTACCATGTAACATCTATCATTTTAATAGGTATATCACTAACTTACCATGTAACATCTATCATTTTAATAGGTATATCACTAACTTACCATGAATCATCTATAATTTTAATACGTATATCACTAACTTATCATGTAACATCTATCATTTTAATAGGTATATCACTAATTTACCATGTAACATCTATCATTTTAATAGGTATATTACTAACTTACCATGTAACATCTATCATTTTAATAGGTATATCACTAACTTACCATGTAACATCTATCATTTTAATAAGTATATCACTAACTTACCATGTAACATCTATCATTTTAATAAGTATATCACTAACTTACCATGTAACATCTATCATTTTAATAGGTATATCACTAACTTACCATGTAACATCTATCATTTTAATAGGTATATCACTGTAACGTACCATAAATCACGAATCATTTTAATAGGTATATCACAGTAAATGATGTAAAACATGTATACTATTATATTGTATTTCATTGTAACTTACCATAAATCACGAATATGAGAATGCCATTGTAAGTAACCATGAAACATATCTATCATATTAATTATTAATTTAATGTGTATATTACTGTAAATTACCATGAATCATGAATCTTTATATTACGTATATCACTGCAATTTACCATTAAAATATATATATATATATATATATATTTAATGGTAAATTACAGTGATATTAATATTGATATATATATCTCATTTAAGTGAATATATCTATCATATTGATTATTAGATTATTAATTTAATGTAATTGACCATTAAATATATATATCAATTTAATGATCATTGTATCTATTAATTATTAGATTAATAATTTAATGAGTATATCATTGCAAATTACCATGAAACATATCTATTATATTAATAATTAGATTAATAATTTAATGTGTATATTATTGTAAATAACCATGTATCATGAATTTTTTTTATTAGGTATATCACTGTAATTTACCATTTAATATATCTATCATCTTAATGTATATATTGCTTTAAATTACCATTAAACATTTTTTTTTTTTTGGAAAAATGTCACCATGAAACATTTTTCTCGTTTTTACTGGATATACGAACTTATTTTACACGAAAATAAACAGATACGAACATATACCTTTAAAAATAGCACCTGCCGTTAATTTTTAGAAGCCAAACTATTTTAAAAATTTATGTAAACCCATATGTTTCGGTTCGTGTTCAGATTTGAGCAAAATTTGAGCACTTATTCTAGAGGTTTAAAAAAAATCGTATGGAAACGAAATGAAACAGTAAAAAAGAAAAGAAAAGGCTTTCCGTCTGGCAACGTAGCTGTAAATGTTACAGAAATGATTTGCAGTGTAGACTAGAAAACCCCGAATAGCTTTAACATGAAACGTATTTCCCATTCCATTTGATAGCATTGACAGTAAATTCAAAGGGTGGCATTTCATTTTTTATAGATGAAATTTATTTCTTCTGTAGGCCTATATTTTACTGTATATTTCTATTATGAAAATACTTCGCCATGTAATATGCAGTCATGCTTTTGAATTTGAATGAAAATTTTGCAATCTAACTTAGATATATAACCTATATTTTTCGGAAACTTTGTCATTATAGGTTATATAAAGTTTACTATGAGCAGTCTATTCTTAAAAGCAAAAGACCATTATACATTAATATATGGAAGAAACGTAGCCTATACTTACTGATTTGAAAACAAACAAAAACCATATCAATAAACTATTAGCTATCTTCATTGTGTAACTTTTCCCATATATTTCTCATGCTTTGTTCTAATCCTTCCTACTATACTATCATAATATTAGAAATATAAATGACTTTTAGTAGAACAATTTGACTACTGATCTTTCTGTGATAATTATCTCTCGATACGTCAACATCCACAAATTAGATAAGACGTACTTCAATCTCTCGTCCTTACAATTTTCTTCATCGACCACTAATAAATGAATGTTTCACACGAACTGGCGTAAAGAAAAACGTTTCGAGTAAATTGACGTGACCAGCAGTGTTTTCCATGTTACGGGTTAATAAAATTAAATGAAAGGATTGCCATCGACCACTTCGCTCTATCTGCCACACGAGTCAATACATTCAAAGCACTAAAAAAGAAACGACTTGATGGCAATTTATGTCTTCATAATCTGATAAATTTGCTTCAATTGAAGTATTTTGACTCCTAATAAAAAGCTTGAACTGCAGTTTCTAAATTTATAAATGCTGTTATGGGCGTCATGCTCTTAAAGGAATACTATACCTCTTATTGACATACAATTTAAAGTCTTTGTCAATAAGAGTATGTATTCATCATTCATCAATTGGATTTACCAGGTACCATGACTTAATAGAATCTCTATATAACACGATATTTCCATTAAACTGGGTAATTATTGAAAAACGCTTCTAAGCTCGTTTCAGTGTTGATGGTGATGAGAACGTAGTCTCATAAAAGCGCTGGCCTAGTCACTAAGTATAGATTCATGCTAAACAAATTGTAAAAGTAAAGAAAGTTAATTATGCACGGCTAAGATTAAAGTAATATCATTTTTCTTAGTAAAATTTCTGAAAAGATAAGAATTAGTCTCCTTCTGTAATGTTTAATAATAAACTGATAATTCTAATGGATTATTACTGAGTTTTATGGATTTATAGAGGGATGATGAACAAGAACTCATTTTGATATAGTTTTGAAAATTTCAATTTTTCTGGCCATCCTGAAAGGTAGTATACTTTTAATAAACCCTGCAAATGGAGCAATTTTAACGTTAATATCGGTGAATAATTATTAACAGCTTTCTCCAGTGTGTTACGAGGTTATGTGGGGATGGCGCTAGCCTTCCAAAACCGAGGGCAGACTGCCTAGATTGAATTTAAAATGGGACAGCTCTGTGGAAGGCGAAAGCGTTTAATAGGGCTTTCCTCTTAGAAAATGTTTGAAAAATAGATATATTAGATGCATTCTGACACATATGGGACAAAAACGTAATGAAAATAATATTGTATATTAGAAGTGAAATGAGGGTACAAACCATTTTTCTATGAGAGAAAATGACCCCCTTATACTCCCATTGGCTATACCGGTATATGGCCCCTGTTCAGTCGGTTTCAATTGCCCTTAACTTGTGGGCTAACATGTATTAGTGCGACAGAAATTTGAATATTTGTATTTGGGTGAAATTAGGTTATCCGAAGGAACTGCTTCGGAAAAACTTGTTTTACTTTCGATCGTCGAGGAGTTATACCATCTATATTCCAATTTTTTTATGCTGCCAGTGGCGTTTGTTTCCTTGCCTGTTAAGCTTTATTCGCTCATTTGTTGAATAAACTTATATCAATGTGTAAAGAATGCTAACTTAATTGACTTTATTGGCCAAAATACAACAATTTGACCACTGTCTTGAAATATATTCCATATGGTTTTAAAGCAGTAAGACTATAAACTATTTTATATCAATTCATATTAATAGTAATTCAACCGAAGTTAGCACTACGTGTTGTTTGGTGTATGTTTTCCTAACCCACATTTCCGATTCTCTTGTGGCAGACTCCGTACAGCGACTGGAAGGATCCACTGATGATGTTTGGTTTACAATATAAACCCTTGTCACAGGGACATTCTGAATCTGTGTCTCTTGTTGTACAGTGTTCACCTGCTGTTCCAATTGCCTTACAATATACATATGTTGGTAAAAATTCATCTCGAACACAACAATAACCATGTGGACATTGGGAAAATTTATCAAGAGGTTGACAATTCATATCTATTTTTAACTGAAATAGAAACATTATTAGGCTATGTAGGGCATCAATTTACTGCCCTATCGACATTATAAAAGAAACACAAAATGAACATTTCTATCAATTTGACTTTCTAGAAATAGATTCAATGTTGACAAATTTAGTCGCAGTTTGACATTAATTGGTGTTCAAGAAGAGTAGGCCTCTTACCGGTTTTGGAGTAGCGTAGGTAACAGTCTCAGATTGAACATGGATTCCACATAGAGCTATTAAAATTAAAACATAGAACATTTTAGACATTGTATAGAGCAAAGCACTGCTTTTAAATTCCGTTTGTTTAAATGGTTTCAGCTGTTTATTTCTCAAATTATTTTTAAATTAACAAAAGATAAGCTATCTTAAATATGTAATATCCTGTTCAAGTTTCTTGATAAGTTTGTCAATAAACCGATCAAAATGTAAATAAACAAAATAACAGAGAATGAAAAAATAGAGTTTTAACATGCTCAAAGATTACAGCTGCACGTGATCCTGCTAATGAAAATGCTAATATCCAATGTGGGAAATTTGTTAGTCGAGCAGCATTAACTCATTTAAGTCGATTTACACCCGTTTACACCCGGCATGAATTGAAAATGCAGCAACTCTGTGTAGGCGCCATAGTTGCAAACCACTCATAATGCGTCTGAGAGGGATCTCGCAAGAAATATTTTGATTGATCTAATATATTTTGTAAATAGATATTTTGTAAGTATATTGTGCACAAAGGTAGAAAGATCTAGTTTTTAAATTTAAGGGATACTCTACAATTAGGGTGCAAACATTTTTTCTAAAAAAGGGGGGGGGAGGAGGGGACATGGGTGAGATGATATCGGATTAACAAATCCAGAGGTAACACGAGATCGAAGCAGGTTTGTCAAAGGCTTAACATAATATGACCAGGTCTGTGTCATTTTTTTAAATATTATTTTTCATAGCAAAACTTTTTATTAATATTATTTTTATGCTATCCCGATCTATTTAAATTTTCTTTTCTCTTTTTTTTATTCATTTATGCAATTTTCCATGGGAGTTAACTCCAAATTTATTGTCATCATTACAGACAACAATAAATTTAACTTAGTAGATAATTTTATATTACCCTCGATCCAATTACGGACTGGATTGACAAAGAGACCTGGAAAGGAATTTCATGTTGGACTGAAACTGACACAACCATTTCTTACCAAGTCCATATTTCTATAAACATAGATCTATGTAGTAGACCTAGGTTACGACTACTCAATAATTTCTATGAAAAAGGCCGTGGATATTCGCCACCCGGGTGGCGAATAGTCCACGTCCATTCATTTGACTATTTGCCATCCGGGTGGCAGAAAAAATCTCTAAAAATTCATGAAATGTCAGCCTTTTTGATATAATTGTTTCTTTCAGTGACATATATGTCGACTCTGAGTAATTTGTAATGGATTTTGTCAGGTTCAGACAAGATCGTGTTAATATAAATTGAATTTCTTGCAATGAAACGAAAGTAGAAATTCCGCCATTTTGTTTACACCAAATTAGCATACATCTCAAATGGTCCTGATAGTGTTGCTATGAAATTTAGCATCATACGTTTGTATAAGAAATCCGTAGAAAAAAAAAATGAAATGAAATAAAGTTTTACGTCCTATTTCTGCACATGTATGGGCTACTGAGGATGGGCAAACGCCATGCAGTGTGCAATGAGTGAAATGTTGTCAGGACAGCGACATTAGCCTACTCTTATTTTCGATTTCCAACTGTCGGGGGATCTTTACGTAAGTAAAAAAAAGGTTGATGAAGATGTGTAAATGGTAAAAAAAAAGACAAAGCAGGCGCGTGTCCAAATTGTGTCACATTTATCCTAGACGTATTTTCCATCCCAAACATCGACAAGGGGAAATCGAGTTGAAAAATCCAAAGAATATCAATCCATGGTTGGAGCCATCGCGAATGTGTAAGTAATGTATGTGGGTGGTAAATACACTGCATTGGGGTGGGTGGAAATATGTATTTGAAGTAATAAGGTTTAAGGTATAATAAGGCGTACGATAATCCACAATACTGACGAGTGGTAAGTAATGTGTACGGGTGGTAATAAGGCGTACGATAATAAACCATACTGACGGGTGGTAAGTAATGTGTAAGGGTGGTAATAAGGCGTACGATAATACACAATACTGACGGGTGGTAAATAATGTGTACGAGTGGAAATAAGGCGTACGGTAATACACAATACTGACAGGTGGTAAGTAATTTGTAAAGGTGGTAATAAGGCGTACGGTAATACACAATACTGACGGGTGGTAAGTAATGTGTAAGGGTGGTAATAAGGCGTACGACAATAAACCATACTGACGGGTGGTAAGTAATGTATACGGGTGGTAATAAGGCGTACGGTAATACACAATATTAACGGGTGGTAAGTAATGTGTAAGGGTGGTAAACAAGAATTGGGGATGGTAAACAAGAGCTGAAGGAAGTAAGTTCTTGTTAACCACCAACAATTCCTGTTTACCACCCCAGCTCTTGTTTACCATCCAAAATACTTGTTCTTGTTAACCACTCACAGTTCTTTTTCCTGTTAACCACCCACAATTCTTATTTACCACCCTAAACTCTTGTCCACCATAAGCTCTTGTTCACTAGTTGTTGTTCACTACCCTCGGTTCTTGTTTAACATACCCATCTCCTGTTCACCACCCTGGGTTCTTGGTTACCACCCTCAGCTCTTGTTCACCACCCTACCTGTTGTTCACCGCCATCATTTCTTGTATACCACCTTTAGTTTGTGTTTACCACCCAACTCTTTGTTACCACCCTAGTTGTTTTTCATTAACCTAGCTGTTGTTTACCACCCTCAATACTTGTTTACCACTCTCAGCTCTTGTTTCATTAACCTAGCTGTTGTTTACCACCCTCGATACTTGTTTACCACCCTCAACACTTGTTTACCACTCATAATTCTTGTTTACAACACTCAGCTCTTGTTTCATTAACATAGCTGTTGTTCACCACCCCCAGGTCTTGTTCACCACCCACAATACTTGTGTAACACCGACAATTTGTGTTTGTCACCCTAAGCTCTTGTTCACCTACTTAGTTGTTGTTGTTCACCATCCCCAGCTCTTGTTTACCACCCTCAGCTATTGTTCACCACCCTGGGTTATTTTTACCATCCTAGCTGTTGTTTACCACCCGTAGGTCTAGTTTAACAGCCACAATTCTTGTTTACCAACCTACTCTTGTTTACCACTCTCAGCTCTTGTTCGCTACCCTCGGTTTTTGTTTACCACCAGCAGGTCTAGTTTGCCACCCTCCGTTCCGGTTTACCACCCGCAGATCTTGTTTACCACTTCCAACTCTTGTTCACCACCCTCAGCTATTGTTTACCACCCCAATACTTGTTTACCACTCACAATTCTTGTTTGCCAACTTCAACTTTTGTTAACCATCTTAAGCTCTTCTTCACCAGCCGAAGCTCTTGTTGTTAACCACTCTCGAATTTTGTTAACCACTCTTGGCTCTCTTTTACCACCCTAGATGTTATTCATTAACCCAGCTCCCGTTTATGTCGGGAATTCGCGTTTTTTGGGAATCCGATTCTAAAAATCTTCAAAGGGTGGGATCTCCTACACACTATATAAAAAATCCTTCAATCCGCCGGAAAACTTCATAGAAGTGATTCAAAAAGTAGTGGCCAAATTGACTTAACACCGGTTGACTATAAATAGCCATCCAATGGGACAGCGATTATCAATTATAAGTAGGTGTTATTTTCGTACATTTTCTTGAAAGGAATTGCAAATAAGCGTTTCTAATGAACATAAAAAAAACATTATAATGCATGTAACGCTATAGCCTTAACAGCTAATAATGTCAGTCTTCAGAGAAATTAAAGTTTTAAAAACGGGTGGCAAAAAAAAATGAGGGTGGCGAATAAATGTTTGCCACCCGGGTGGCGAACATCCTCGGCCTATGAAAAAATAACAAAGAGAATAGGCTAACATTAAAATAGGTATCAGCGTAGGTCCAGTTGAAATTAAAAGAGAACAAAATAGTAAAATCATTAGGCATTAAATTCCACCTCTCAAATATCCCTTAAATATGCTTAGGCCTAAATGTTTCTCGGATTAACATTCGGAAAGATCAAAGGGAAGCAATTCTTTTATTTTTGCCGCACTTGACTTCCTGTATTTCTTGAATGACGTCATGTTGAGAAAATGGCGGAGTCCATCATTTCTGACGGACAGAATCAATCAGGTAATCAAATAAAAAAGCTATTTTTGTTCCTCCTGATTATTGCATCTGTTTGATTTCTATCATAGAAATAACTTATTTGCAGAAGCTCTTAATTATGCACTGTTTATGTTGAAAAATAAGAGAAAAAAGTCTTTTTTTATCCATGACATATGACTGATATTGTCATGATAACTACGCTGTCAGTCAGCATTGGATAAGTCAGCAAATAGTGAATGTTTAATCATCATATGATGTAACTAAACTGTATGAATATTTTCATAAAATGATAAGTGTTATAAGATTTTTTTTATTACGTCCTGGGTCACTTTACTCAGCCAGGAGTTGACCTTCACCCTTTGAAACTTGTAATAATTTTTCCTATAGTCTACTGTCTAGTGCCTAGCTCAAGCTCAAAGCATGAGCCCACTTCAGACTTCCAATGTCTATGCCTAAAAGTTTTGTTATCGACTGTGAGTCATACATTGCTCTTCAACCACAACGATCTCAGAATTGAATTATTTCTATCAGTTCGTAATTCAAAATAAATGCTTACTAAAAGTCATAGCCCACAATTGGCTTTATTGGGTGATTTGTATCAAAATGTCTTTGGACCGTGGATTCATTGAAGTATAAGGTTTGATTTTACATTTGAAATGAACACACTTCTACCACAACATTTACTGTGAACCTCATTTCGAACTGGAATAAATATCAGACAGTTGATGCCTACAGGACCAAAGAATGATTCACAGTAAAATGTTTACACATAGTAGCCTATAAATCAAATGATGAACTATTTTAAGATACATACCCTCTTAATGCCAGACATGTAAATGCAGTGTGTTGTTTTAACATAATTATGTTAGGGAACTGGGTTGTAGGGGAAATGGGATGTAGGTGTTCGGGAGATAACATTAGTAGTTTGGAATAAAACAGCACCACATATACTTTTACGAGATGAAACAGTAACAGCATTCGCTTCATCAGACATTTATCTTCTCTATATCTTGATCTTTTCAATAAGCTTCATCTTCATCTGGAATTCTAGACATTACTCCATCTGGATTATAAGGATGCAATCTTTTCTTTCTGAATTCAGATAGTGTATTTGCCATTTATAAGCTATCTGAGTAAATCAGGGAATTTATCTTATGATAGCCACCCTTCTTTCTCCACCAGATTTCCATTGCCAACAAAATTTGTGACCACATGGTTTTAAAAGTCTGAAAAATGCCACATCCAAAGGTTGGCACAAATGTGTATAATTTGGAGGTAGGTATTAAAAAATTATATTATTCATGGCACATTCCTCTAGGACAGACTCTGGAAAATGTATACTTTAATTGTCACCAATAAACAATTTCTTGCCTTCTTTTCTTCTTAGAAATGGTAGGGTGACAGTCCGGAACCAATCTGTAATTTAACTTATATTATTGTCAAACTACCCAGATTTTGAGCGATTGTATCTTGTATTTTCTTGTCTTTTCGCTTCAAACATTAAAGAAGTGGCACTCTTTGTGTGGTTCATTAGTCTTTCTGGGTATTGTTATTGTCCTCTCACGAATTGTTTTTTACCATTCGACTATTTGTCAGCATCATTTGAATCCTTAATCTGACAACTTAAATATTTATGGCACAAGTGTTTTTTCTTCATTTTCTGATAAAATGATCAGTCTGCCCGGGGCACCTTTATGCTTTCCCATAATATTGTTTTATAGAGTGCTTCTTGTTATGTCATGTTTCCTTGCAGCCTCTCATTGGCTTAATCCCCCAGCTATATCTTGTAATGCTGACTGAAACATCATATTTTCTACTATCCTGTTTAGAATGATATACAGGGCTTAATGATAATATTAAGCTTAATATCAGGATGAGAATTGAATGAAAAAAAATTATTTATTTAATTGATTTATTATAATTATGACTGCTGTTGTATGATTTTTCTGTCAATTTCTTTAACAGGATAACTTTAGCACCTGGGCAAAGTAGCCCCAAATAGATGACCAAATATAAGGGTAACTTTGGCCACCCCTGTAAACAAAATCGAAGACAAGTTTCATTGAAATTTTAATTTTGTCATGATCTTTATTCTAGCAATGATTAATGTTATAAAACACACAACACACAGACAAACTATCATTATAAACATATATGCTAAAGAAAAGTTTGACTGAGATGTAGGTTTGCAGAAAATGAAATTTAAAAAAAAAATTTGTGAAACAGAATTATCAAAGTATTTATTCATTGATAAAAGAATAATTGAAAACGTCAAGCCGCCGGTCGGTCTGTCCATCAACCTCTAAAAACTAGATTTTGTGATGGAATCAAATGAAATTCGGTATGTGTATACATATTCTTAAAACGAAGATCAAGTTCAAATTTGAGCTATATTCGACCGTTAGAAGCAGAGTTATTGCCCTTGCCCCAAAATCTTGAATATACTATCTTAGTTTTCAACCGACTTTGATGAAACTTAAAATGGATGTTATTGGACCTAAATCAAAAGGTTTGAGAAAGTTAAGTTTACTTCTGATTGAATTTAAGGCTTTTTCAAGATTTAGGCCTCATACGTCAGTTTTGAGGAGTTATCGCCCTTTAACCTCTATACAGTTAGTGCTTCAAACATCAATTGCTCGTAAACACTCTAAAAACAAGAGTGTTTGAAGGAATCAAATGAAATTCGGTATGTGCATACATACTCATGAAACGAAGGTCCATCCGCTGGTCCGTCGGTCCGTCCATCAACATCTAAAAACTAGATTTTGTGATGGAATCAAATGAAATTCGGTATGTGTATACATATTCATAAAACGAAGATCAAGTTCGAATTTGAGCTATTTTCGACCGTAAGCTCAGTGTTATTGCCCTTGCCCCAAAATCTTGAATATGCTATCTTAGTTTTCAACCGATTTTGATGAAACTTAAAATGGATGTTTCGTTTTTACCATCCACATGCCGTGTTGGGCGTATATGGCTGTGGTCCACTATCTTTATTATTACATCTGGCAAGTGGCAACTTATGTCATAAATTTCATATGCCATTTACTCAAGATCCTCTAAGCTTATAATCAGCTTGTTAAGCAAATAATTAAACATTTATTAAGAAATTCAAAGCCTACATCACCTTTCTTGGAAAATGTAAATAATCAGAGTAGATTATTTGCACAAAATTGGAAACATGGACATTTATTTGTCATAGCAAAAATTCGCAAAAGTAGTGATCCAAATATGGATTGGAGCAAATTTGATAAGAAGTGACATTTTATGCCTCACTAGTATATTTGTTGTGCTAATTAATTACTTGAATAAAGTACATATTTTTCTGAATTAGCAGAACTGTAATAAAATAGCATTAGCTTAATTCCTTCAAATATAACTCAAATTTCACTTATTATTTTTATCTCATTACCTTATTCTCTGCCTGAATTGGGGTACCTGAAAATTAATTAATTTGATAACAGAGAGTGTTGTGGCTCTTAACTGTTTAATGGTAGAGTCTTGGGAAAGGGTTTGTCCTCAAGGTGAGCTGAGAATGTGTTGAATACTAAATTACAAATAGTTTAGCTGAACAATTCTTGTTGCTGAGACCAGCAGGGTATGATTGACCTATGAAATTGGTCACCTTTAAAAATTGAATTAAATTTCTAGATGCTCTGAATCTCTAATGCTACAAGTTTTTAACAGTTTCTTTAAGGAATGTTTGGGCAGAATTTCAAGAATAAGTGAATGAAAACATTGCCAAAAATAAACTTTATACATTACCATAGGTTTACCTGACATTTACTGGTGTAGTAGAATCTCATTGAGAATCCAAATGAAACAGGTTAAGTCTGTTTCTCAGTTTTATTCTATTGTTCATTATTATGATTATGTCTTTGTGTGGTGTCGGTGTGTGTTATTTTCTCATCCTACCCTAAAGATCAGATGGCCCTGTTGTTTATTTATTATGGTGCACACATTATCCTAACCAGTAACCATCGCAACTTTGATAAGTCTTTGCACTGTATGCTATTTGGGTGTGAATTACATGCATTTCCCTTTCGAGTTGAATTGGTGATAGGTGATAGTCTCTAGAGGTAATCTCTTTCCTTTTGGCTTTGTTGAATTAGTAGTAACTTTGGTTGGACTTAAAAGTTATGAACTCGAAATACTACCAATTTGGTAAGCATAAATCATAAAAGAAGTAAAACTGACAAGTCTTCTGTTCTGATTGAAGTAGATTATAATGGTCAGTAATAATTAATAATTTACAGTGTTGTTTATAAAAAATGTAATGTGGTTATTGATTTCTGTTGATACAAACACAGTCATTAATCAAGTTTTATTTATTTCATACCAGGTAGACTGTAATACCAATACAAGTATCTAAAATTTATAACAATAACCAGGTGTAGGCCTATATTACTGTCTTTAGGGAATATGTACAGCTTTTGTTCACCATATTTATGATAAATCAATGATATGATACTGATACAGGACCTATCTCAAACTGGCTCTTATATTAAGTCTAAGGATTGAGATAAGCGTCTCAAAATGAAGTTCTGTTTTAATCACCTTTAAAATTCTATGTTATTCCAAAAAAGGGATTTGTAAGGAAGTTTTATAAACGTTTTATGATTAATGTGTAAATTTATAGCTCCCATTTGCACTATTCCCATATATCCCGTTTGACAACTGGGACAACTGTAATTGTACATAAACATGACCATATATATGATGTACATTAACTTCAGTTATCCCGAGTGGCATTTGTGATAGTGAAGTGATATTCCAGTCATGGATTTTTGAATTGCCAGAACCTTAGAAGGCTGAGGGGAAATCATATTGATGCAATAACTGTCCTCGATACACATACAAAGATTAGAAAACCTCTTTACAATTGGTTTAAGTTACCCTCTCCCACTTCAATGTAACAGTTGTAGTTTTTTATGCATTCCCAGTAACAGCTGATAAAAATCTATTATTTTGCTATCTTAAGATTCTACTTCATATATATATATATATGTCTGCAATCATATTTAAACATTAAAGATGGAGAGATGCTTCTGAATCAGCATTCAAAGTGAACAATCTACCTGCTCTCAGTTCATATTTATTATTAATTGTCTAGCAATTCCATTGTTTTATCCCACAGTTCAATAGGGTGGCCTACTTTCTATAGTTACAAGGTTGAAGCGTACATTTTATAATTGAAGTATTGGAAGATGTAGGAAGCTCAAGGTACTTTGTCTTTATCCTGCTTCATTAGAGCATAACCATCAATTTCTAGAAAGTCATTTTCTTTGTGTTAAATATGAAATTATGATGGTATTAATTGATCATATAAAGTCATTGACTTTATTCTATCTTTGTTTTGGATTGAATGGAAATAGACTGTCAGAAATTACATTGTGGTGGGCAGTACTATATGTCTTCATACTTATTCTTAATCTTTTGTTGTCACCTAAAGATGTCAATGTAAATAGTAAAATAAACATTATATAATGGATTATATTAAGGATAACTATTGATATTAGGTGAAGTAAGTCATAAAAGTTTTTTTAAGAAGTTAATTATCTTCACAAAGACTTTTTTCACTTAATGAAACTGCCTGGGGTTATAGAAGTGGGAGGGGATATTAAATCAGATGATGTCAACAGTGAGTTGTATTTTACGTTAGGCAGGGAATGGTTTAGATCAAAAAATATGATTCAGGTAGAACACAGGATACACTATTCCTCTCTTACAGGTAGGCCTATATTTTCATTATAAAAAATCTATAAGCTAGTTATTTGTTTGACTGTTTAGTATGTACATAAAGTAAGTGGGTTATTATGTTGCTTGTTGGATTGTTGACACCTCATTTGATACCAGTTGACCTTCACTTCTTCACTGGACACTGTTTCTAGTCAGTATGTCTTTCTTCTTGTGAAGCATTTTATTCAGAGATTGGATATATTGGTTTCATAATGATGATCTCTTTAAATTAATCTGATTGTGAAGTTCATTTTGGAAGTCTTAAAATAGCCTTATGTTCTTGTCGACTCTGCTATAGATCCATCGTTTTTTGTAGCTTGTTTTCCTTCGCATTATATTGTAATAGATGGAATTGACACGCTACTTGGTGCTTGTAACTTCTTTTTTTTTACACTATTATTTCTCAAGTCATGTTTTGGTTTTCTGGTTCCAATTTACATACATAAATGTCTATGTAGCTGCCATGATACTTAAGTTTCACATTAATTCAGTCTTTCTGTTCCTAAAATTTTATGGATGCCATGATTGGACAAACAAGTAAAAAAAAAAAAACCTACTCTTTTGTTTATTCAAAGTTTTTGTAGAGGATTGTCTGTCACCTGGGTACATTATTTGGCCATTGTCTTTCTGATAGTGTCATATGTTATTGTTATTTGACATATCAATAATAATTCTATGAAATATCTATAACTTATGGAACTCTTTATTTAACCTGATGATTTATGATTATATATAATGATGTAAGAATGATATAGATGGGTGATAAAGGTAAATAAAGATGATATATATTGTTGTGGATGATGAGTTATAGCTATGTGTGGTATGTGGTGGTGGTAAGGTAGTCACATGATACAATACTATTGTTACTTATATATACCTACCTTTTATCAATGAATAAATTCAGGTCACTTTCTTTAAGTTGTGAAGATTTGCTTAGTTAAAGGTAACATTTAGGCATATCTATAGGAACATTTAAGACTATTGCCACCTGAATATAACTAAATATCTTTGATTAGAATTAACAGGTGTGACATTTTTTGTGATTTTTTATATGAACCATATAAGGAATTGATAGAGATCACAACCCAAGGAAAGATACACTTTAATTTTGATTTCTACTCTTGACTCTCGCGTATGTTATTCTATTAAGGCTGGATTACGATAATGTGCCAAAGATGATTAAGATTTAAGATAAAGAGTTAAGATAATAGTAAAAGATTGGCAGGTAGATATTTTGATTGATTTACCATGACTGATATCAAGGTGTGTGACATCATTGTTTAATAATGGATTACTATTATAACTAGTCAGTAATTATGTATGTATATGATATATATAATGTTAGTAGTTTGACCTAGAAATGTTAATATGTTATATGAACTAGTGTATTGTAATGTAGGCAAGTCAAGTTTAAGATAATAACAGTGAAATAGTTAACTAATCAATAGTATACTATGTAAGATATTTTAATTAATATATGATAAGATGTAATAGGCTGATAATAATTTGATAATAAGAGGATATTTTGGTAGTATGCTTATTCATACTTAATTACCGGTATCAGAAGTTAGCAATATTTCTAATTACCAGATATATATCAATAATACCTTTTCAACTGACTGAAAGTAAAAATTTTTTGAAATATTCAAGATCCACTTAAGTATGTTTCAAATATCATGATTACTGTCTAAATCAAGAACTGGTTTTATAATTATGTTACTTATTTCAAATGGACTATTTTATTTTGAAATTGAAACTATCTTGGTCCTGTTATTTAATGAATTTATTCCATGAATTTTAGATCACAGCCTTATCTAACCCAGTTAGTCCCAATTAATTACCAACTAATTAACAATGAAAAAAACCTATCAAAAAATTTGTTTAATAGCAGCAGAAAATATCAATTTATCTAATTAATCAGCTTACCTTACCAATGATGATTTGATCAGTACAGTGGAGAATCTGTACTCAAGGACATATAGACAAACTGATAAAACTAGTCAAGAAAAAAATGTCTTATGACATTAAAATTGTTGATGTCTAATTCTCTGCGTGTTGTTCCTGTCAATTTTAATGATGACACAAAATATTTGTGCTACACTTTGGCAAAAACCAAAGTAAATGTTACATGTACTATTGTGTGCCTGCACAACAGTCTTTTAATTGGAAAAAGCGACCATGTGGGCGTATTCTAGACTTTGTATTTCTATATTTGTCTGTTTCGTCACACTTCCAGAAAAGATGTTTTCAGCAATTGAGTAATGTAGGTTAGACATAGAGAGACATATTGCAATACAATTCTAATATATTTTGTTGATGTAAATTTCTAATATTGATTTAAATGACTAAAAGGTGGTATGATGGTCCAGCTGTTACCTGACAAGTCAATAGGTATATTACTGTAGCTCTAGTTGACTAGATGATACCTACTATAGGACCATGTATTGTTATGGCTGGTGTCACCAGTATTTTTACCAATCTTTATTTTGGTGCTGACCACAATCTGTTTGAAATGGCTTAATCAACACAATGAGAAACAGATTAGATTTCTTCAATGACTTCTTTAAATCTCAGTCTGCGTTCAGGTCGTGGTAGAAGGATGGTGAAAGTGATTTCACAGAGATTAATTTGTGAGCTTTTATTTTCTTGAGAACAGTTTTATGATTTTATGATCTGTTTATTTGTAAAATTGGAATGTTTGGGATACATACAGGTCAATGGGTTATAAGCTTAGGTTTTTATTCCAACGTTCATGTGACTTTCTTTTAGATCATTTTTCGAGCAATCAGAATGAAAATTGGATGATGATGAAGTCTCCAGAAACTTACACTTTTGTTAATATCTTTCAATTTTTATTTTCAGTCCCATCAGATTTCCATGACAGAGGACAGCCGCCAATAGTAACTACAAACCAACCAGTTGTAGATTCTCCATTAAGTCCAGTATCTAGTGAGGATTTAGATATCTCATCACCATTATCTGATGGCTATAAACCTACACCATATCAGGATACTAGTAAACCACGTAGTTCAATGGACAGGGAGGATAGAATAGCAGTTGGTGGAGCTGGGGACAGTGAACGCTTAAATACTAGTAATGTTAACACAAGCATCACTAGTACTGATTCTGGTGGTTCACCACGACGTAAACCAAGACACGAAACTGATATCATGAAACTATCAGCTATGTCTGGAGATGGGTACACTGATAGTCTTTCTAGCAGTCGTCCTGCTTCTGCTGCCAGCTCAAGAAGTCCTTATAAAGAAAAAGGTGAGTGATTTCAAGAAAGTTATAAGATTATCCATCTGATTGTTTCATACTTAAAAGATTACTACAAGATAATTTGGGTTCAAGTGTTTGATCAAAGTCAAAATGTGAGTAAAGAATTAAAATGGATTTGAAGTACAGTGTCAAAAGTTGAGATTATACTATTTTTAAAGATTTTGATCTGTCTAATGAAGAGTGAATATTGTCATTGATAATATCCTCACTTATTTACTAAATTTAGTTTGTTTATCTTCTTTAGAAGCTGAGAGGCGACAAAAAGAAAAGGAAAAAGAAGAAAGATTTAGGTTAGCTCGTCAACGAATGGCAGAAGAACGACAAAGAAAGTTGATTGAGTTAAAAGAACAACAACGAATTGCTCAAGAAAATCGTGAACGTCAGTTAGAATTACGAAGGAAGAAGATTGAAGAGCTGAGAAAGAGAGAAGATGAGAGAAGAGCTGCTGTTGAAGAAAGAAGATTAAAACGAGAAGCAACTGAAAAGGTAAGAAAGGCTACTTTATTTTAAGTTCTATTTGCAATGAAAATCAACAACTTCAACGCTCTTTTAGCACAGAACTTACTTCAAAAAGTGTTATGAAACTTAAGTTCATCATCAGTTTATGTCCAACTGACACTGAATAATTTCTACAGAGTTATGATATCTATAGTTGTGCTAATTTTTTCTTAAGTTGAAGAAAGTATGATAAACTAAATTAGTGATATCAAAATTATCAGAGAATTAAACCCCCTCTAGGTTTTAAAACCAATTTATTTCATTATATTTTAGAATGCTGACTTTGATTTAAGCTTTTGTAACAATTTAAGAACATACAATAATATGACAAGGTTAGGTCAATAAAAGGAAGTGTCAATGTTTAAAATATTGTTTTTATTGTTAAATTTTTACCTTTGTATGATCTCATGTAGGTAAAGGTTTACTTAGTACATAATAAATATTAGTGTTTTATTTTACATATAAAAAATTTAACAGGAAGTGCATGAAGAATTTGCGATTTTTCTTTTCTTCCGTTTGACATCAGTTCGGACAAGTTGTCTTAGATTGATAAATTTTATAAAACAATTCAGTCAGTTGTCTGGAAAGGAATAAATATAGCAAATAATGCCGAAATAAAAGGTAGAATTATTGAATTTCACTTTGCGTGTTATAATGGTGGGCCAGCTAGTTCACAGCTGTATATAGGTAGATAAATTAGATATTCTGTAGTTGCTATTTATAATAATAGAAAGTGATCGATATATTGAAGGTGTTTTCTTTGAAGCTGAGTAACTCTTGTGATTATTAGTAATCGGGTGCTAGTTATAATAGAAAGATAGTAGAATATATATATTACTTGCTAGGTAATATTGATTGGTTATTATCTATTTACACTATACAATCTAGGACAAGGAGCTCTTGTACTGAAGCTACCTTAACCTGACAAATCTAAAACTACTATATTCTGGTTTATCTATTCAGGAATTCAAACTCCAAATTAATCAGTTCATGCTACAGAATATTTTTGCAGAATGTTACAGAGATTTATAAGAGTACTTTTTTGAATGTTATTTGTTTGATGTTTGTGGTAAAAATTACTATTAGGTTTGTGTTCAATGAATTCAAAGATACCAAGTTTGTAGTGGCGGTAGTGCTGGGAATCGGCATTTCCGATCGATAATCGATAAAAATCGTAATGTTGATACTCAAATTTTAGGTCAAGAAGTTGACTCATTTCAAGTCCTATTTAGACTGCTTACCACTTACTTGTATTTTGAAATGAATTATCGTTATCGGTACATGACATAAGAGCGATAATCGATTTTTCGATAATTATTCCTAGCACTAAGTGGCAGTGCTAGTAGAGGAGAGGAGGTTCATTTGTCCCCAATAGATTGTACCCCAATTGCATTTATGCTGCTTTGCAACAAATATGATAGAATGCACCATATCAATTTGTGTTTCCAAAATATTTCTATCGGGGACTAGCACCTATGCACATGGAATCTCAATTCCACCCACAACTCTTGCCGCAACTGAAGGTTTTTGTTCAATGTTCACCTTATGTGTATCAAATATCAATCATTGTGTAAAACATGTACATGTAAATTAGAGATGTTGTCTAACACCTTTCTAGAGAGAACATGCTGAGTTTAATTTAGTTCTAAAACAGGTTATAATCAAATAGTTCTTTTATCTTAGCTATTGGTATGCTCTACATATTTGACTATGATAAGATATTTATTTATAAATATTAAAACCAGTGACCCAAGTAAAGAAAATAGATACAAAAATTTGACAGGTTGTGGACTGGTTTATTAAATATAATGACTTGGCTTTATAGGTTAATAAGACTGTTCCCAATTTTGATATAATTTTGGTGGCCATGATGTTTTTGAAAATTTCTTTTGGCAGGGATTGAGACACTTTGATTTTTTACTAGAATTTTGTATGTTAAATTTGTGGCTCTGATTATTGTCTACTTTGGATTTTTCATCCTGGTTTTTCTCGGTCAGTGATACAGGTCAGAGAGCTGACATGGATAAAACGTCTAGTCATGTGGTACCAGTTACAGGCTGTGCACGCTAAAGAAAAAGTTAAAAAAAAGCAGGCTAATGCCGTTGTCATGGCAAATTTTCCTTCCTTGCACACTGTATGACATTGCCCGTCTTCATTAGCCCATAAGGTGCAGGACATAGAACTCAATTCATTTATTCATTTCATTTTCATTTCTTACAGTGGTCTTATTTTAGTTATTGAACAGTTCATTCAATTGTGGGACTTTGCTACGGCAAAGTTCAATATGTGCAAGAATAGATAATCGGCTCTAGAAGTCGTATTTTTCGGTCGATTTTCTTTGGGTTTGCATTTTTGGAATCTACTGTTAGAATCTGAAAGAATAGCCGTTTCAAAATTTCAAAATTCGAAAATTTGCCGCAGACATTTTTTTTGCCAAATTTTGCATTTTTTTCATTTTTTTTGCTTTTTGTCTGATTCATCTGAAAAAAATTAAGCAAAGACAGTTGCAGAAAGTAAACAAAACGGTACAGTCAAATTTTCAATTTCACTTCCGGTTTAAACAGGAAATCGATGTTCACTTCCAGTTGAATATCTTCCGGTGTAATTTGTATAGGACAAAAAATTTTATGCTGATAGGTAGACAAAGTTATGACAAAAAAACGAAGAAAAAAAAATCTGGAACAGAAGTGAAACTTTGGCCGCCATTTTGATTTTTCTGAAATGATTTGATTTTTATTCGGACATAATGGCTCATCCGATTTAAATGATTTTGGTGTCAAATGAAAGAAGATAAAAAAAAAACATGACATTACGAAGCCGTTTTTCGATTCTCAATTTTGCTTTTTTGCAACATCCGGTTGAATTTTTTCAAAGTTTGAAGGGTCATATCTCGTGATCTTGAACTTTGATGACCTTGACCTTCATAAGGTCAAAGGTCATTGACCTTAGCTATCAGTTAATACTTTGACATTTGACCTCGACATGTACTTCCGGTTTTATAGCTGTCCGAAAACAGCCAAATTCGCAACTTTGGACTGCTCTAGCACGTGACCTAATTAACCTAGAGGGTTAATTTTTTCGGATTCTTAATGTGCTTTTCATGCTCTTTCAAATGATTTATAACAATCGTTTTTTAAAGCAAAATTGAAATTCGTGAATTTTTCAAATTTGAGTTTTTTTTTACAATATTTCTGTTTCTTTGAGCTTGGTATGTATATATCTTATGACCTATTTTATGTAGAACATTGAAACTTGGAACACAACAAGACAATTTGAATATAAATTAACCTATGACAAAAAAGTTGAGGTGGGCGTGGCACATCCGGGTTGAATTACTAATTGTTTACATTTTGAGAAAGGGGCATAACTCGCATAGGATACATTTGTTCAAAAAGGAACTTTGCACACAATTACCTCATTATTTTGGCCAGTTTGTGTTAATAGGTCAATTGTTTCAGCTTTATAGTTCCAAAAAAGGAACGGGTTTTGAAATTTCCATATTTTCAATTTTCTATTTTGACCTTTATTGACTCTTGTTGACCTATATCTTTTGACCTGTATGATGTAGAAGCTTTAAATTTGGGACACAACATAACATTCAGAATATCAATTAACCTATGCAAAAGAAATTGAGGTGGGCGTAGCACATCCGGGTTAAATTACTCATTATTGACAATTTTGGCAAGGGACATAACTCGCAACGTATACATTTGTTCAAAATGGAACTTTGCATACAATTACTTCATCCGTTGAGCCACGTTGTCTTAGAAGTTCGATTGTTTCAGCTTTATAGTTCAAAAAAAGGAACAGCTTTTGAAAATTCAAAATTTTCAATTTTTGACCTTGACCTTTTTTGACCCTGATTTTTGTAGGATCAAAGGTCATTCACATTGGCTATCTATTTATACTTTTATATTTGCTGTCCTATCACATCTTCCGGTTTTATAGCCGTATATATTTAAAAATTTTGATGACTTTTATCTCGTAACCTTGACCTTTGTTGACCGTCTCCCTTTCATTTGCTACATTTGCAAAGTCCCACTCTGTGCCACGTGTGGCTCTAGTTATGTATTTTTTTTAAAAGCTATTCAATTAAAACTAGACTTGCTATTATGAATTATCATGATATTCTAAAAATATGCATTGTTCATTGTTCTTTCTTCTTCCATAACTTGTTGCATGAGACCAAATTATAGTAGAATTATATGCTTAATGTACCTTGATAAATACTTCACTTCAAACGTATCTTGAGCAGCTAGAACTGAAGTAAATGAATTGTTCTTTGTATAAAAAGATGCAGATTTTTCTTGTCTTATTCTTTTTGATAATCTTGCTTCAAATTACCTGCAACAACAGGTCAACATTTTGACTGGAAAATATTTTGCTACTGATTGTTGTTTTTAAAGGATAAACATAACAAGTGAGAGTTAAAAACATCTGTGATATTAATCCTTTATCATTTACAATATTGGAAGTTTTTTTCAACATCTGTTAATGTTCTTATAAAAGAAGCCATTTTGATTATACTATTGAAATTAACGACAAGAAACTTTATTGATTTTTAACATACTATTTAGTCAGTTACCTTGTGATATGATTGCACAAAGCATTATTTAACCATGCCCTTATTTGGGCGTCTGCCACTCTTTGATAATTCCCTTTCATGGTTTCAACAAAGAATTCTTACAAAAACCTGATTTGCTATTAACAAAGAAAATCTGATTTTGCTATGATTAGTTATGATAATGGATAAGGAAAGAAAGTTGTATTTTTTTAGTCCTGTAATATCAGGGTTATTACATTCTGTATTTTATATTATTTATCTTCTTATTTTACCTGTATATTTTATAAATAGAGTAAGTTTGATATTGTATATATAATTTGATTTGACTTACTTAAAATCTTAATAGTACTTGATATAGACATAAACTCTTTTCCAGCTGTACATTTGAATATTGTACAGTAATGGTTATTCAATTTATATGAATTCCAAATCTTATCTTAATCTATGAAATGTGGTAAATTAAAAAATCATTAATATTCATTAATACTGAATATCAGGTTATTGCTAATAAAATAAATGTAAAATAAGCTTACTGTAAACAAATTGCTTACAGATTAATCAGATAGAATTACAAGTATAGAATTTCAAGTGGCTGTAATAATGCTGCTTATCAAAGAGAATCTGGATTTAAAAGTCACAGATTAAGGCACTTAGGATTGATATGATTGTATATGATTGTACGTAAACAAGAAATGATAATTATAACCACAAGTACTATTGATAACATCAAATAAAATGGCATAGGAATTGGATAGTTTGTAAATAAAGAATTCAACGCAGACAATAAAGAGAATTGATACCTTAATGAGGGAAACATGAAATAGACATGGATTATAACTTTGTAATTCCAATGGGAATTAATTGTGTAGGATGTTTGAATAAATGTTGTTATTGAAACCTGTCTTTCTATTACAGAGTAAAAGAGAAGCTATATTACAACGAGCCTCTGAAAGATTAACAAGATATGAAGCCTGGAAATCGGGAGGTCGTAAAGGTGGGAGTGGTCAACCATCAGGCTTTGGAAGTCGAACACCTCGTGATATCTGCAAGCCCTCTGAGAGACCAAAGCGGTCTTCCTCGCATAGTGCGCTAATACGCCACTCTCCAAACAGCTCTGATTATGCCTATATGTCCCCTCAACGCCGAGCTATATCGGCCTGTAGTTCTGTACGCCGGCACTGTTGTGTTGATATTAATCGTTCTGGTAGGTTGTTAACACTATTAATTACTTACAACATGATTTTAATGGGAAAAATCATGACCGGTTTCTTATTAGTGGGTGATGGTTTCAACTTCTCTTGCTTTATTAGATAGCTGTCTATATGGTTTAGGATTTCATCAATTATTGAGACATGGCTAAAATTTGTCCTTGTAGCATATGGGGTTTTTAACTTATATTTGATAATTTTATAAAAATAATTCTTTATTTTTTACGACTATCTGGTAAATGTTTTGTGTGTTTTGAATAATGCACTTTAGATGTTGTATCTTTGTAAACTGTTTTTTTTCAAAAAGAAAATTTCTCTTCCCTTTTTGCATGTGACAAAAAAACAAAAAAAAAAAACAATTAGATTGTGATTGCCTCATTGAACACCAAAGAAGCATGATTAATTTGAACTCACTAAATAAAGCATGTCTCAAAATTCAGATCAATCCTTATATATCCTATACATATATTTAGTTTAGCTTAATACTAATATTACTAATTTACTGACATTATTAACTTGCTTGGCGTGCAGAGTACATTTAAAAACCTTGTATAGAATATAGCTCGTATTGCCTGGATTGCAGATAGAGGTGCTTGCCATCCAATAGTTTGCATTGTTGCATAAATTTATTTATGTTTTATTTTCTTTATAATCTTTTAATGAGAAACCTCACTTAATTTGGTTGACCTAATGCAACTTCATTGATATCTGTTGCATTTTTTCAATCTTTTGAAATCATTAAAAGATTTATAAAGAAGGTTTTTAGTTGTGGAAAGAACCAGTTTATTTTGTTGTTTACACTAGTTGTTGATGACTCTCTGCTATCATAAAGAAATCCTAGTTTATCAATCACTATCTATTGATATATTGATCATGAGATTATTATTTTGATGATGACACTATTCTGGTAGTAAATATAGATATCAACCATATGTTACCTTATTTTGACAATATTTCACTTGTATTAAAATTATTAGTACGGGTAGTATAATTTCATGTGTAAAATATACCATATAGACTACTATTCTATTGAATCTGTAAACAGGAAGAATACATAAAATTTAAAAAAATATAAACAATGGTATTTAAGCTGCCATATGTAGCATACACCCACAGAAACTATTATTTTATATGGTGTTTCTTTTTTGTAAAATGTATCAGAATATTCAATCTTAAAGTTGATGTCATCAAATTAATAATCTATAACCCCCCCTCAAGATTTTGTTTATTTATTGATTTGTTTATTTTTGTTAAATTTGTTTCGCATTTTGCATTTTTTTGCTCATTTATTTAGGCCAGAATCCAGGATCTTTTCTTCCACCTTCCAAACATTTATCAGTATCCACAAGTGTCCTTTATCACAAAAGAAATCCAGACTTTGCATCCACTGGTGGTGGACTTAATGCACAACCCGGTTCATTACTTGGTAAGATTATAGCTGATCATATACAGCTCTGTGATATTTATCATTTAAATGAAACTTTATACACTTTGCAAACACTATGTGTTCTAAATTTAAAGATAGGTACTTTCAGGCTTGAGAGCAAAAAGCATGTTAATTGCTTCCATTTTCTGTTGCATTTTGAATTTTAGTTGATTTATATTTTGTTGCTTATTTTATTGATTTACTTTGTTTTGAACTAGATGATCAAGTCTGCAATCTTTATTACAATTTCAAAATTATCATTCAAGTATCTTTTGATCACATTTATAGTGCTAAATATATATACATATGGATTACATTGTACATATATTTATAAGGCATTGTGCAGTTATATCCCTTATCAGATCTCCAACAATTGTAACATTGTAGTTTATGCAAGTAGTTTATTTATCATTGTATAATATGAACATATTGTCATTACCCTACTTTTAGACATCAATATACCATAATCATATTTCTCAAAATATTCTTTGAATTATACAAAACATTTGATAGATTCAGAAATTTGATAGAATTGAATTAAAGAAAACTTCAAAGATTAATTATGATAAATTATGTTGTACTTTGACTGATCTGAAAAGGTGTATAATGAATCAAGAGAAAGCGTTTTTTAATGGCTATTTTAGATTAAAAAAGCTTAATAGAAAGATTTGCAATCAGTAATGACATTGCAGTTTTGAGATAGTTTATTGCTGCATCTTGGTATTTTATCAGAACAAATATCTATAATTTTCTGTTCAAGATGTTAAAAAATATTTTTTCTATCACAATATTAACTTCTATCTGCATGAACTACCTTAAACCATTGCTTTCTTGTGTGTCCCCACTAGATTTCTGTTTTATAATTGTAATCTGTAGATAAACTGAGAGTCTAGATAGTAAACCGCGTTGTAAATTTAATGTGTTGCTGTGATGTAGTAATGGCATGGTTTAAGACACACAAAACAAACAATGGTGTGAGGTACTCAATGATAGCTAAACAATGATGGGAGTTAATTAGAAATAATAATTTGTTATTATTTTTTTCTCCCTCTCTCTATCCTTGAACTACCAGCTCTAAACACCATACCAGAGAGTCGTCGCTCTTTTCTAGCACCGTCATCTTCTCCACCACAACGCCCAAAGAGCACTGTTAATCTCAATACAAGTACGCCTAGTGTTAAACTGAGAGAGAATAGGGCTCCACGTAAACCAAGACCAGCAAGTGTAGCAACGTCTATGCCTAGTTTTATATCTACTGAAACCCCTAAATCAGCTTCTCAGAGGAGTGTCAGTACAGATAGATTAAATAAAGGTTTGTTATACTGACAAAATATCAAAATAACAAACATTTATTCATGTTCATTCTCATTATTTGATTATTTTATATCATTGTTTTTTAATTAGTAGTAGTAGTAGTAGAAAAGGGTTGCTTGGTTGTTATTATTTTCATTTATGACAATTTGGTCATTTTCTGGGGGTATCATACAAATTATTTTTACTTATTTTTTATTAACAACAATAGAATAACTAACTTCATTGAAAATTGAGAACTGTTGTTTTTATTATCAGTGTGACACATTCATTTATGATTTAGCTAAAATTTACCATAAATATATCTTTCTCATTGTGTTTTAGTGGAATTAATGTAATATTATAACATTTTCCCATCATTGTATTCTTGATTGTTTAATCATGTGGTATGATTTTTATTTTCGAAATAGATAAGAAACACAGAAAGAAAGATGTTATTGAAGAACATGAAGAAAAGAAACCAAGAAAACATAGTGTTAAATTTAGTCGACATAGCATAGATAGATTATCAGCTCCTAAACAACGGGATGTTATGACAACTAGTATTGAACTGCCAAAAAGAGATCCCATTATTAAGGTATTTAGTCTCTTTATAGCTCATATCATTTATATTTGATGTTTATATCATGTTAGATCATTATCTTCAGATTCTAGATGTGTCATTCAACAAGTCAATACATTTTCTTAAAGCACCAGATTAGAGTTACAGCTTGCACATCTCCAATCTTGCATTTGATGTTGTGATTATCTTCCCTTGCTGTGACCTGAAACTAATCCTATGATCAGTCCCATTACTAATAAAAAACTTGTCCAGTTGTAAGTCAGTGACTTTGTGTTTGTAAGTTGTGATGCATCTTTGACTAAAGCATGAAAAAGGCAATGATTTGAACCTTATGTATGTTACAGAGATCGCCTAAAAAGGCCTATTCTACTACTAATTTGGCTATGACCAGAAAGGTTTGTCAATATAATAGCATGTATTCTCTAATCATTAATCCGTTATATTTTTACTCTTGGTTTACTCATGTTAATCTCACTTCATTCTGTCCTCTAGTATTATCACATATATCTATTTAATCAATCACTTTCATATGTTCATTTACCACATGAGTTTTATGAATTTATCAAGCTAGTTTTAATGCTTCAACGATTGACAGGAACTTTGATTACTTCTGCAATCTTATAGTTACTAATAGTAACTTACTATTGTTACTGTCTTTGTCATTGGTTGGTGAATGGAAATACACTATTTTGAAGCTGACTCCAATTCAAAAATCAGTCAAAAAAATGCGCTTAATCAGACATAGTCACCAGACATAAAGCTTCTTTCGATTTATTGTTATGATCAGACTAGTGTGTTAAACTTCTTGCAAAAATCATGGCTGAAAATCAGGAGATAAGGACATGTTATGAATATGTAACTTTTGCACCGTATTTTGAGCATGACAGAAGTTTCATATTATGTAGTTTGAAAGAGCAGGCACTACTCTGTCCTTGACTTAACAAACCCCATTAAGTGCAAGTTATAAAAGATGCTTTATATATTCCTGATAAGAACATACATATAGAAAACTTTGGTTCTGTTGATTTATTACATAATTATATTATCCTATTTAATGTTATTAGGTCTTTCACTTTCTGTTAATATCACACATTGCATGTTTATATATCACTTACTGAGATTCTCAGTTATTACTGGTATTGGCATTTATCAGATAAGTTCATATATTATGTTATTAGAATTGGTGTTAAAACAACATTACTTTGAAAGTATGACAGAAATTAAATATATGCTGTAAATATGAATTAATTATGTATATAGTATATGTAGACATTAAGTTATCATTATCTTTTATCTGATTGATATTATATTTATTTAAGCATTTAATCAGCTGTAGTTGATAAGAGTATAGAAATTAATTATAATGCGTTACAAATATAATCCAGGCTTCCTTAATACTTGATATTTAATACTCAGAAGCTAGGCCTGTATAAGACCTATGTTGAATATGTATAAGCCTATATTAACGGTATAAGAACTATTAAAACAGAACCTTAAACATGTTGTTACTCAAGGTTTCACTCTGTTTGATATGAACTTAAACTCTGACTTTTATTAGTAAAAATGTTACTTTGTGTAATTCCAAATTTCTTAATCCAAGACATTTTAGGGTAAGCTTATATTAAACAGATTTTGTAAAAGTAATGTCTAAAACCAAATGTTTTCTTTTTTCATATGTTATAGTCATTACCAGCTAATGTTAAACTAGCTAAAGAAACACCACCAAGGCTTCAAAAAACTGGTGAAACAGATGACAAGAAAGTTGCTGTGGTTAAACCTTCTCCTAGTGTTAAAACAACACCCACACCACCAATCAGACAATCTTTAACACCAACACCTAAACCACCAACACCAGCATCAGTAACAACAACAACAACACCAAAAGCTCAAGTAGCACCTGTTGTTGTAGCTAGTGTTGTAGAGGAAACACCTCGAGATGAAAAGAAAGATGTTGAAGATTATAAGGCTAGATTAGCTGAAGCAAGACGTATAGCTAGGGAGAAGGCTGAAAAAGAAGCAGAAGAAGAGAGAAGAATACAAGAAATCGAAAGGTAGACTCCAAAACTTTGAAATTTCTTCTGGGACTGCAGAATACAAAATGATGATAATGGTAGAATATTTATCAGTTATGAAACTTCCTTCCAGTGAAAGATCAGAATGCTAAACTTACATTATTAGCTGTGTTGACTGTATGCACAGAATATTCTTTGATTCAAAATGATATTTTGACACCTGACATTTTTTTGATTTAGATTGAAGGAAGAGGAAAGATTAAGACAAGAAGAAGAAGAACAGAGAAGATTTGAAGAAGAAGCATTAAGATTAGCTGAAGAAGCCAGAAGAATTGAAGAAGAAAGATTAGAAAAAGCTATTGAAGCTGAAAATAAACGCCGTGAAGAAGAGGCTAAGAAATTAGAAGAAGAAAAGAAAGCTGTAAGTTGAATTTAAATATGGATTTTTACAACAATAACAGTATAGACAAAGATATGATATACTAAAAAGAACATTTTATAATATTTTTGATGTAAATCAGTGATATTGATGATAATATTCCTGTTTATATTATTATTCCAGAAAGAACTGGCTGACCAGAAGGCACAAGAAGAAGCTGAACAACTAGAAAGAGAAAGAATAGTAAGAGCTAAAAAGGAGGAAGAAGAAAGAATAGAAAGAAAGAAGGTAAATAAAGAATGATAAACCAAATTCTTATTTACATCCCTCAGATCTTTATACCAAAAGTGATCACCAAATGGATTTTGTTTTAAAATTACATCTAGTTTACTGTATTTTGGTAACAAAATAAGCACAAAATATGAAAATTGAATTTTAAATGTTTGTTCTTTGTATTTGTAGAGGTTAGAAATGATAATGAAAAGGGTAAAAACAGATGGACAGTCTGACTCAAGCAGGGTTAGTATTTTCTTTGACTTTTCTCATTATTTTTATTATTCATACAATGCTGTACCTTCCCAAATAGGTTATCTTACACAATTTCATAAGAGAAGGCACAAACACAATTACTCAAGGGAGAAAACTATTCTTTAAAGGGAGTCAAGGGATCTGGATCATTTGCCATCTGTTTCCATGTCAAATCAAGAAATTCATCCTTCTACAACTTTTTCCAGAAATCTTGTTGAAAACTTTCCAATATGCCACATGAACTAGCCAAACTGAAAGTAGACTACTAGATTTTAACAACATCTGCCTGACTATCATGGCACACAAAATGACTATTTTTAGAATTATCCTTCTGCATGAAAGTCTCTCATCATTGTAGAATTTTTAGTTGCCTGTGTAATTATATACAGCCTTGAGAGTATTCTTTTGATCTCAATGTTCTATGTTTGCAGTATTTTGTAATTTCTACTGTTTTTATGTTTTATAGACCGAGTCTCCTAATAAGTCAGTAACAAGTTCACCAGTTAAAACAGCTACTGCAACTACAGAAGAACCAGTTGATAGTGGTAGTGGTTTATCTAATGGGAATTCAGAAGAAGATATTACCAAACCAACCACTTTAGATACTACAGATCCCACACATTTTCAAACTCCTGATAAACTTTCAACTAATGATAGTGATAAACCCAGATTTAGATCACCATTATTACAACAAATGGCTGAAAATAAATCTGATTCACCTGGTGGTGAACGACCTAAATTCAAATCTCCTCTGCTTCAAAATCTCCTAGGTAAAAACAAGGCTGGGGCAAGAGTTGGTTTAGAAAAGTCAAGTGAGGAATCGAGAGCAGGGGAGATATTGAATGCGTTAAAGCAGAAAGAAACTCTTAGCTTTTCGTCTTCTCAATCTCTGACTAATCTCAGTCAAACTTCGGAATCCCTTGCTGACAAGGAAAGTTTAGAGAAGAATATGTCCAAGAGTGTCTTTCATATTAACATGAAGGATGAAGATAAAGATATTGATACAACAGAGTCAGATAATTCTTCTATAACTGATAATAAAGATGCTGGAGAGGAGAGAATCCTTGAGGATGATCAAGTAGAGGAGAATAGTGATAATAAACACAGTGAAACTAATGGTTATAGTCAATCATTTACTACTACCACTATTACTACCACTAATGGTAGTACTCTAGAAAACAGTGTCATCTTACAGGGTGGCGCTGATTCTGGTGTTTTAATGGATTTAGGTGAAAGTGGAACTAGTCTTCAATCAATTCCTGTAAATGGTGTTGTAACTCATGACCTCATTGATTCCAGGTAAGTTGATGATAAGATACCTTCTGGAGCAGAGATTACTATCATCTGATGCAAGACAAACTAATCTTTATTACTTTGAATCCTTACTAAAAACTTAAATGCCATGGCATGATTTTTCTCACTTCAACCAGGAACAAAACAAACCATACTTCCTAATTTCATTATTAAAGATAAAGTTAAATTTACAAGCCCTTGATGTTATTCTGTAACCAATGGAATCCGAATTTTAATATATTATATGCAATCTTTTTTAACCTTAAGTTAAGCAGCATTTATGGGTAGAAATCACTTTAAATAACAGAAAATAATACTATGTAAGCTAATAACAAAAACAGGGGAATATATTATGGGATAACACACTTCTTTAATAACAAAGCATACAAGGTTTCAACAAAATGTGTCGTCATCAGTTAAAATTTTATACTATACTGCTCCTGGGTTTTATTGTACACAATGTTTCAACAATTTACATTGTCATCACAATCTGATTTGGATTGAATTATGTCAACTGTACTAAACAGAATTTACTTTAACTGAATAATGTGGTTTGAATTGTATTGATCAATGCTGATTGAAATATTGATCTATTTCTTGTGTAATGAAATTTGCATTGATTTAGTTTCTGAGATTAGTTTAGTTTTTGTAAGTTCAGAATCAAATAGATCTAAATATAATTTTTCTACCTCCTATTTCAACTTAATAAAGAACTTGCCATTACTATACTCTGTAGCATTGAGAATCTATGATTGAATTTTGATTTATATGTTTATATCTGAAAAATCTAGGTAGTTAAGCTTATATATAGACATTTACTAGGTGGTAGTTACTTGTTTACCATTCATATCCTATATAACAGTTATGATTGGAAGAAGGAGTAAGATAGTATTGCTGTCCTCACTAAATTGCTTGTTTTCTTTTTCTCTGCTGAGCATAAAAATATGGGATATGATTATATGAAACTCAATTGCAATTAGTTTTTATGTGTTATTAACAAAGGTCATATATAGCTGAAATAATGTGCATTGCTCTCAGCAGAAAATGTATCAAATGTGAACATTTTGTACAAAACAATGAAGATTTTGTGCTGCATTGTTACCTAATTGTGTCCATTGTGTAAGAGATTTAATCCCTTCATTCAGTTAATTTTTATAAAGAGGATTTAATTTCTGGGGAACATTGATCAAAGGGTAAGCTTATATAAAGATAGTGGATACATTTCTTAACCCTCAAAATACTGACTTGATGTATCTATTGAGAACATTATATAGCTAGTAGAGTGTTGTTTATCAGCTACTACCTTCAGCTTATAGTTAAAACTATGTCAGGTATGTCTTGTGGTGTCCTACTAAACAGTTATTCATACATTCATGCGGAACATGTCAAATATAAGGTGGGCTAGGGAGAATAGGTAGCTTTATACGGGTTCAATCTATAAATAGCATGGACTAACTAAGGGTGTAGTTTAGGTCAGTATCGTTGATATTAATTGATATATTAAGATTAATTAAGTTGGTATAATTAGCAGTATATTATGATGGTATTAGCAGATATTATATAAAGTATTATGATATTGATTTGAAGACTACAGTAAGTTATAAACAATAGATTTAGGTTAAATATACAGTCTGACTTGGCTGAGACATACAATATATTATTTACTCAAAACCCAACTTTTTTCTCTTATCAATTGATTTTAACTATAGAAAATTTTGTTATTTTTTATTACGACTTATGGTGAAAGATTTAACATTGTGTGCCTTTCTATTAACTATATGAATATTATATGAAATATGTATTTTTCTGCATGAATTGCAGTATATTCAAGCATCCAGGAATTTAATCATATATTGCCAAAAGTATCTGTTTTGACAGTGTGCACTTCAAAAACCCCTCGACAGTTAGAAATTGATAAAGAATAGTCACAGTGTAATGCCACTGTCTAGTCCAAATCCTAATTGCATACTGCCTAGGATTACCTGTCTTCACTCTAGTGAAATAGTTTGTAAAATTTCATTTATTTCATTTCCTAGTTATTGAATTATGTTTTTTTATTTTGTAGCATTAGTATGCAATCAGTTGATAGTAATATAAGTAGTACTGGTGAGAAAGAACCATCTAATGATTTTGAAGAATTAATTGACTTATCATCTTTACCAAGTAATAAAAATAATGTGGTAGATCTAAAAACTAATCAACAAATATCTGGATCACAAGATTTACTCAATTTGAATAATTTAGAGGACAGTGAAGATAGAGAGAATAGAACTCCATTTATTGCCTTTGAAGAAAACTCCAACATTAAACAAGATGTCCCAGGTATTATATTTGTATTTTTTTTTTATTCCAAATGTAATTTGTAATTGTACATGATTGTCAAGTATTAATAGTGCCTTTACTTCATGAATTTGAATGTTCAGATTAAAGACCTCCTCAGCATTGTTGGACAATTTTCTGTTTTTACTGATGATCCAAACATCAAATCCATGGATTTTGATTGGTTGTTAATATTATCTTTTTACTGTTTTTTTTTCATTTTGATTGCCACCAATTATTTTCTGTTATATTTTAGACCTCCTGTCATGATGCTGATTCAAGTCGAGGGAAAGGTGAAACACCACCAAATGTTAATTGTGAGACTTCACAAGTAGGAGATGTATCAAGGGACATTACTCCTACTATTTCTCTAGTACAAGAAGAGCTTTCTAGATCTGTTAGTGACAGTGTGATTATTACTGATCTACCTGCTTCTAACCCTGCTGTTATCTCTAAAGCTAAACTAGATAAGTTATGGCAACAAGCTGAGGTGGTAATGGAAGAGAATCTAAGTAAAGTACAACATATATTGGAAGAACATGGTATAGGGTTTGCTGATAATGATAGAAATAGTGAAGAGGGACAAATATGGCGGGTAATTGAAGGTGATTCTCCATATACTATTAATTTAGTATGATTGTGTGTTTATTGACATTGCCATAACATATACTAGAACCATCTTGCCATACAGTATGGACTATTATATAATTGGTAATTTGTTGTGTGTTTATTGATATACACTCCTGGCTTCAGCATGAATATATAATAAAGATAATGTGATACGATGTACTGGTATGTATGCTGGTATATTCTATTGTTGTGCTCTAGTCTTGTCTTAAACTAATGTTCAGTGTTGTAGCAATATGGCAGGGCTTTTTGTTGTGATTGGTTTGTTATTCAAGAGTTTGGTTGTAAATAAAGAGACATTCTGGTTGGTAGATGTTTTACCGGTAAATAATAATCGTTATGCATTATTATTCATTCTGAATCTATCAATATCTATTGATTATAAAGAGTGCTATGTATATTCTCTTTTATGTTAATTGATAAGATTCCTACTCAATCATCATGCATTTATTACTTGAATTGGCTTAAGGTATGAATTAATGTTATTTAGACAAATACTTAATAATTAAACTATTAATTAATATTTGGATATATATATATATATTATATCATGGTATATAATTATAAATAGTAAATATACTAATTAAACTACCAACATAATTAGATAGTATTTAGCAATCTGTTATATCCAATGCTAATAATAGTAGGCCTAATTTGATTAAGTTATCTCAAAACTTGAAGAATTGTAAGTATCACAGAAAAGTTCAGAAGTAAAGATTAAAATGTGTACTATGTTAAATTGTAATTTATAAAATACATTCTATCAGGAGGATGTGATATGATAATAATGTGATATTATCAATAATTGTGTGATGTGTGTGTGATCTTTATGTTTAATTTGAAATGATTGTTTTCACTCTTTATTTATTATATTGACATCAATATTGATTGAGATGAAAGCAATACTCCTAAACTTATCTTGTGTTTACCATACAGACTAGTTGTGTTTTCCCAATTACATCGTTGAACTCTTTGTCAACATATTGAAATTCTCATGTGTGTGTCAATAGATCAAGATTCTCATGTGTTTGTCAATAAATTGAGATTCTCATGTGTTTGTCAATAAATTGAGATTCTTATGTGTTTGTCAATAAATTGAGATTCTCATGTGTTTGTCAATAAATTGAGATTCTCATGTGTTTGTCAATAAATTGAAATTCTCATGTGTTGGTCAATAGATCGAGATTCTCATGTGTTTTGCAATAGATTCTCATGTGTTTATCAATAGATACTTTGGAAAATATCAATTATCTATTTGTTGTACTATCAGATATCTGATAAGACTTCAGATATGTAGTTGAGGAGTATTGCTTTTAAACATGTAGATATTTGTATTATATTTTTGAGACATGGGAATTTTAATTTCTGTTGTCAAGCCAGTAACTTTCAAACTTTAGTCCAAATAATGGAGTGAAATTATTTTAAACAAAAAAACTTGTACTATCAAAAACACTTAGTTTTTAGTTTTTATATTTTTTATTAATTTCATAATAACATCAGTACAACAATAATTAAATTACTTTAACAATATGAACTAATTGGTAATTATTCTATGTATGTATTCCATTTCAATATATGAAATTGTTTCCTAATTACTGATATTGTGCAAGATATATTCTCCATGTTATATTATTGCAGTGTCTTAATTTACCTTCAACTGCTCAAAATATCTTTGCAGAATGAACTTATCCAGTAGGAACAGTGCTGTATTTATTTGTATATTTACTGCTAATTTTTTCTTAATTCTAAGATAGCTTTATTGATATAAAGCTGTCATAAATATATCTGAGTTGTGTTGTTTCCTCACTATTTATTATTGTTTAAAGATGGGTTTCCTTGTTTTTTAGTGACAAATTAAGCAAACTATTTCATTAATTGGTCTTTAAATTGAATTATTATTATGTTCTTATTGGCTTATTGCATATAATTAAGAGTCTTAACAAATCATAAATGTCCATGTATATACAGTCTAGGTAAAGACAAAAAGACTTTTTGACCTTTCTTGATCGGTCACTCATTGGAATTTAGCTAATTATGAATTAATTGAGACATGTGAGACATTAGTCATTAGAACATCTTTTCTTTCTATTCATAAAAGTATTAGCATTTTCATAAATGAAAAAAAAAGGGAACCCATATTCAAAGCAGAATTTATTTTGACAAGGCATTCTCAGATTTAAAAAAAAAACCAGCGGCAAGTGAAAGGTCTAAAGTCTAATGAAATGATTATCTTGTAGTCTACATTTTCAGACAAAATAATAGTGAACTTACACGTACCACATTGTACAGACTAGCTTAATAAGCCCCATCATTCATTAACATTCAAACTATGCATTTAACATTTAATTCTACCCAAATCATTACTTGCCTTTATTTATATTGAAACCTACAATCAATTTACTAATTCTATTACCATGGAAATAGGACTGCTTTGAGAATGATTTGCCAATAGTTGATGATTTTCAAGCTCTATAATGGATGTTTCTGAGCTTGAGAGCAAAGTTGGTTTGTAACGTAGGACAATAATTTTAAGCAGTTATCTTGCCAATTGCATCCACACACGCCAAAAATATGTGATCATGTTAAGGTTTTTGCATCATCTATTTATTCTAAATTTCTTCAAACCCGAGCTTCTAATGTTTTTTTGAGTACATTATAGAGTTATCTCCCTGTAGCAGTAATAAAGACCTGACAGGATTGTGGAGATCTTATGTTAAAAAAAAAATCAAAACCTAAATAAATACATTATTTATTTGCGTATATGCATAAATAAGATATATATTACACAGCTATGTAAGGTCTGTATCAATGTCGTACACAAATATTGCCTTATTCATACTAATCCACAGAGAAATAAAATCCTCAGCAAAAAATGATATAATTCAGCTATTGCCTCGCTGAAACACAAGCACCATATGACAAAAGTTGGTATGCATTATTAGTAAAAAGGAGCGAATAGTGGATAACCTAGATCAATTCCTCATGAATAGGATAATGATTCAAGGGTTCTTGTGGAGTATACTCGTACACCTTATCTTGACCAAATGTAACACCACGTTTTTTAGAAGCAGTAAGGTTAATACTCTCACGAATCAAGCTATTATTTCTGGATATTGTTGCCTTAGGCCGTGGAATTCTAAATGTATGGTTCATTCCAACCTTTTGGAATGCTGTCTCTGGAAATCTGTTTAAAGAACCGTTCACGGTAAGATGAGTCATTTCAGACCACGTTGATTGTTTTTGATTGGATATACTGTCTTTCCCTGAGGAAATGACACGATAACTTGGTAGTCCTACATTTCCATTTGGTTGTAACCGAGACATAGTACCATTTGGAATTGCGTCGCTTGCGTTACCTATGTGTTGTTGAATCACATGTCCATTTTGCTTAGTGGAAACTTTCTTGTCCGGTTTGGACGATTTGGATCCCAGATTATTGTAAGTTGTAACGTCTTTTTCTAAATCATATCGTATTTTAGCGTTATATACATGGTAATTCCGACCCGGATCAGAGTGAAATTCTTTACTCTCAACGTCCAATGATTTCGATTTCTTTATTTCCGAATTTTTTATACTTTTATTGTTGAATTTGGAAGATTTGGAAGGTTTATCTATTCCATTACCACTGAGTCTAGGAAATGCTTCCTCCACAGTCACTCGTCTAACTGGTCGATACACATATCCATGTCCTCCTGAATCATGATTCCAATAGTCAACACCACCAATACCATCACGACGCCTGATGGCATTGGCAATTTCAGGAGAAACGTGAACGACTGGTACAGGAATCACATGCTTTCTGTGTACATCATGTCTATACACATGCTGCTGACGGTATTTAGAATTGGACGCCATTTTTTCACAGAATCACTTGATTACACATAATACCAGAGAACCCTGAAATGAAAAAGAAAAAAAAAACATCGAAGAGTTATTTACAGGACTAACTTTATCATAATTTAGCAGAACTTCTGATAATAAAGTCTTATTTAGCTGCATTTCGTTTATTCTATCTTTTACAATAGTAAACATAGGCTACGTCACGACGTATGACCATACCTTATCATAATTTACTCTTTTTATACTCTACATCCCCTAAAAGGGTCATCAAAATCTACAAACGAGATTTAAAATAAAGTATACACAATATAAAATAAACTCTGAATTAAAGTAGTCCAGGCATAACAAAATCCTATTTGAAAGAAATAAAAAGTTTATACAAATGTTATCATTGAGATATGTATTATAGAAAACCAACGAAGCACTAATTCTGATTGGGTGACACTCAATGATAATGAAACAGTGAAATTCGAGTATTAAATAAGCAGCACACGTGTATAACAGTCATGCATTGGCGTATTAAAGCGGTTATTCCCCCCCCCCCCCCCTTTCCACTGCCTGTGAAAGGTCTTATTTTGCAGTGAAAATTAAACACTCTAAATACTAAAAATTTCTGGCATTTTCTAGATACGACCCTGCAGCCTTATGTGATAATGACAAAATTTATCAGATGCAAGTATTAAATATTCTTTTGCTATCTGGACACTCTGGACCCCTTTCTACTTGCAACTCTAGGTTAGAAACTAACTAATGAGCAAACATAGCCTGTTCTGATAACGACAAGTTAAATGGTTGAAGACTTGAATTGTGAATCCCCAAACCTATCGCAAATCCTGAAACATTGTCAATTGCAGGTTTTATACTATATACTCACTATGTACCCATATTTTTTATATCTTCAAACAAAATGAACCTTACCTTAATGTACCAATCAAATCGAGTGCACAATATATTCTCCAAAAATATGAATTTATTACACCTCAATATAAATATCCCTTAATTTAAAACAAAATATGATTATGACATTTAATATCCTATCCTATATTTCAGGTAACAAGTTGAGGTCTTAGTGAACTACTTGTTTATCTTCTTACAAACTTTCTTAACACATGTGTACTTATTAACAAGTTGAGCTTCAAACAAAATCTACTTCATTCTTAATCAGGTTTTACCACATTTATTACGTAATATTAAATTATTATCACATTATATTTACTACTTTAATGATTCAAACTAAATGTTCCACGGCAAATATCAACTCATAAACAACACGAATTGGTGTCACTTTCAAGGCTAGTGGTTAGCAATTTTTAGATATTATAATGAGGCCCGATGTTTCAGCTTCAATTCACAAGAACCACAGCCTTTGATAAGATACGAATAGTTCAGCTTCTCTATATTTATAAAGTTTAGGCAGTGAAGCATGGTCTTTCTCTTTCCTTATTTTAAACTTGATCAATAGGTACTCTATATATATCTACCAACTATATTATAGTTATCTTGAGAGAAACTTGTGATTTTAACATCATTCAATGATATAAAAGAATGAAATCTCGATGACAGAAAACACATAATAACATAAGTATGTCAATCTCACATCGTCCCCACAAACCGTTTCAATACAGTCAAGATAAGATTTTCCTATAAATCAAACACTTAAGTAATGTAAAATTACACAAACCATTTAGGCTTTGAATACTTATCATCCATACTATTTCATTATTTCAATATTGACTACACCATGTAATGAAAGCCAACTTCAAATTGTAAACTCCTCCAAGCCAGAGCCGACAAAATCAATTAGATAGACTTGAAGTTATAGTCGAAGGGACATCCTGAATCATTGAAGAGGTTGAATGACAAAGCAAGATCATTAATAAGGAGAAAGCACCTCCAAAAAATTGCACTCAAATGATGCATCTGCAATAGTATGATTGAAAAAGGTTATAGTTATATGTCAGGTCAATGTCATGTGTAGACACTAACTATAACTACAACTAAGGTATTATAATGTACTTGTCCACAAGGTCATGATTTTGATCAAAAATAAGTGTGTATATGTCAATTCCAATACACTTACTAAGTTCTATTTTGAGATGATATAGATAAAAGTAAATGTTTTTAACCTTTGTACATTCTACAGAATCAACTTATAAAACAAATGAAGTCCTATTCATGCCTGATTGGAATCGGAATCACTAAAAAGAATATAATATGGTAAATGATATGATGTGAGAAGGAGATTTTTAAAAAAAAATTAGCTTTTTGTCCACTTCCTGGAGCAAGATCTGCTAATAACTAATGGAAAGATAGCTTTCCAGACAAGGTAATATACGCCCACTGGCAGCTTTGATTTTGAATAAATATATAAATATAAATATACTAAGCAGTACTGAATTAAAAAAAACAAGTTTTGTTTAAATCCGGCAAGAATCATGCCTTTTAGTGTTTAAGAGCGTTTTCAAAAACAGGTCAGTAACTCCTAAGAAACATTTCTCGATTTTTTTTTATTTTTGATTGGGTTCATCCTTGGGTGTTAACACGCACACCAAATTGCGTCAGTGTTTACAAGCTAAAAATTGAACGCATTTTCAAAAACAAAGGCAACAACTCGTACTAAATATTTTGGATTCTTCTGATTTTCAATAGGGTTCATCCTTGGGTGATTACGAACACTCACACCGAGTTTTGTTAAAATCCGTTAAGAATTGTGACTTTTATAGTGTATACGAGCTAAAAATTGAACGCGTTTTCAAGAACAAGGGCAATAACTCATACTTAATATTTTTGGATTCTTCTGATTTTCAATAAGGTTTATCCTTGGGTGATTACGAACACTCACACTAAGTTTCGTCAAAATCCGTCAAGAATTGTGTCTTCTAGAGTGTTTAGA